CATTTCCACATATAAAATAAATAAAATATCCAAAAAAGTTTACCTCTAAATCAACTACAGTCAAAAGTCGTTAATTCGGACACCCATAATCCGGACCTCAAAGCTACAAACTTTCTGCGCATGCGTCGCGTTCACGCATGCGCACAGGCGTTTACGAGAGCGCGTAAGACCCTTACGGCTGCGAATATGTTTGTGCGCATGCGCGTTTAATGTGTAACGGAGTTATACGCTAAGCTAAAGTTATCTAATTCAGTTAATGTTGCAGATTGCGTTGTTCCTTAATCTTTCGAATTGGATCCGGCTTATTATTTTTTGCAGACTGTTAGAGCAATTTTATAAAAGTAAGCTTGAACTTTCGATTATGTCAAATAGAATTTCCGATATATATTTCTATACAAAGCGAAAGTATGTTTTTGAAATCCGAAATCTGTTTATCAATTTCACGCTGCTCTGCGGCAGAGGGGGGGGGCAGAAACATCATTATTAGATTATGATAGATTAGAAAGATTATGTCAAATAGAATTTCCAATACATATTTACTAATATGTAATTTGTATCTACAAAGCGAATGTTTTGAAATCCGAAATCTGTTTATCAATTTCACGAGGCGGATTGGAAGTTGATCTGTCAACACTATCCTTATCTTCAGAGCAGATGTTTTTATTTTATTTGGATTATAATTCCGTACTAAGTTTAGTATTTCATCTCGATGTACTCGGTCTTTGATATGATTTGGTCTTTGATATGATTTAAATCAAGTTCCTCGTCATTATAATTCGCTTCCGATAGTGAAGAAAGTGACCCAGAGGTTATTGAAAACGAAAACATTTCGATTGACAAATTAGTCGATATTCTCAACACAGCAATTATAGGACTTGAACAGCGGAACTTTGTAACTAAACAAGAAATTATGTCTGTTTAATAGAATTAAAGAAAAAGTATTATCACATGAAACGAAGCAACTTACATTGAAGGAAATGTTTAATAAAGTAAACAAATAAATATTAAGTTTTTTCTTTTTGTAAATTTTGATACCCTTTAGATCATAATTGTTCTTTATTTCATAAATTACGGTTTCATATTTTTAATTTTGTAATTTTTGCATGCCATCTTACCAGATTTAAACTGATGATCTATAATCCGGAAAAATCGATAATCCGGAATCGCCGAAGTCCCGACGAGTCCGGATTAACGACTTTTGACTGTATTACATTATACACGTCACCAACGAATTCATACCGCAAGCATTACAAATACTTAGTATCAAATATTTAAATTATTTCCATGCACGTTTACTTCAACTTAAACGTATACCAAATTCCTACAAACATAAAATTCACAAAATAACTATCATTTAATTAAAATATCACTAAACCATGTACACGTCGACTTATTTTTACTTAAAAAAACACCCCAGAATTGCACAAAAATGGCATTGCGCACACTCTTCACTATATCCATGTACACTGCTTTTTTCTCATAAATTAGAAAAATTTCACGAAAATACATGACAATTTTCTCAATCTTTAAACTCGGTAAAAAGAACATATATGAAATTACCTGATCGCGAAAAAGTATTTACCCTTTCCAAATATGAACATTTCCACATATAAAATAAATAAAATATCCAAAAACTTTTACCTCTAAATCATCTATTATATTATAAACGTCACCAACAAATTCATACCGCAAACATTACAAATACTTAGTGTCAGATATTTAAATTATTTCCATGCACGTTTACTTCAACTAAAACGTATACCAAATTCCTAAAAACATAAAATTCACAAAAATAACTATCATTTCATTAAAATATAATTAAATTCAAAAACACTACTTAAAATATAAATGAGCACATACATTAAATTAATAAAAATTACCTTACAATCCTAATTACTTTAAAACTAAATCATTGCTAATAACAATTTTCCAATAATACCAAATTCCTTTCCACCTTACATTTAGAACAATGCATAAAAATAATATCCTCAAATAATTAAAAATACTAACTTACCTAATCTTCTTCAGAATCTTGATTACGTGTCCGATAAACTTTTCTTCTTTTTGTTTCAGGATCTTTAAAATCATACTTATATTTCACAGCAAGGTACCAGGCAAAATAAATAACTTAATAAAACATCTTTATTTCTATCTCGCACAACCTTAAACAAACATTTATTACTACCCTTTTCAATACCACTAAATACCCATTTCGAATTCACTTTAGTTACGGCCATGGGATCCAAAAATTAACCAACACTGTTTTACACAACATAGAATAAAGCCAAATACAAAATTTCCAGATTTTTTTCCGATTTCCCCCCTTTTTCGATTAAAGAACCGTAATTCGTCCATTAATATCACATGACATATCCCATGATCTCTCATTTCCCTCACACAAAATAATGCGTAATCGGAACTGAGTACTGCTCACATTATTACCAAAGTCCCAGGTAGTAACCTTTATCGCCTCCAAAATGTTGCCAAACTACCAGTTACCATATTGTAAAGATCAACCAATAAAAATTAGCTTACAATCCTAATTACTTTAAACAATATCATTGCTAATAACAATTTTCCCAATAATACCAAATTACTTTACTTCCACCTTACATTTAGAACAATGCATAAAAATAATATCCTCAAATAATTAAAAATACTAACTTACCTAATCTTCTTCAGAATCTTGCTTTCATGGTGGATACACTTTTATTATGGACCTACACTCATGCACCATTCAACCAATTCTTTTGAATTATCATACAAATGCATTAAAAATCTAGAATTCACTTTAGACAGCGCCATACAATCCCAAAATTATTCAACCTTACTTCACACAACACACAATGAAGCTTAATACAAAATAATATACAGCCACAGATATTTTTCCAAATTCCCTCCTTTTCCAATTAAAGAACCGTAATTCGTCCATTAATATCACATGACATATCCCATGATCTCTCATTTCCCTTACACAAAATAATGCGTAATCGGAACTGAGTACTGCTCACATTATTACCGAAGTCCCAGGTAGTAACCTTTATCGCCTCCAAAATGTCGCCAAATTACCAGTTACCATATTCTAAAGATCAGCCGAAAGTTTTACAATAACCTAAGAGAACATAAAATTAGCAAAGCAACAACCTTGCGCTCAGCATGAACCCCTCAACTTGGCATCCATAATTTTCAGCTATATGTAAACATTGTTGCACACTGGTGTAAACTGTGAAAAATGCACTTAAATATCAGCAAAGGCTGTATCAAAGATACAGGAAATCAAACTCCATCAAAGATACAGGAAGAATATCAGAATTAAGGCAGACATTTTTATTATTAATAATATTCTTCCTGTGAAAAACACTTACAAGCACTTGGGAGTATACTTCAACAATAGACTAAATTTCAAACAGCTCATCACTGCTACTTTAAACAAAGCAAATGAAGCTTACATGTTCATTTATAATCTCATATTAAGAAAAACCCAAGCTACATTGCAGAATTAAGTAAATGCTGTATGTTATGCTAATTCACACAATGTATTTATGCGGAGATCCTGCATGGGCAACTGGGGGGAAAACTTATCGCAAAAAATTTGATGTTTTCAAAAGAAAATCCTCCATACTATAGTTAACATTCCCTGGTACACAAGAAATTCCACCAAACTAAAACTCCGAACTCTTCCAGATCACATTCTCACCACAGCACACAGCAAGATGAAAATCTCAGTTCTTCAGCAAAATGAAAAACTTACAATACACTGCAGTTACATGACTATGATCCCACAATCGAAAGTACAATCAAAAGACCGAGAACTATTCACCATAATGCACCTTGGTGATTTTGTATATATCCTGAATACTTTTCATTCCACTCAAGAATCAGTTTATTCTAGATCGGATTTAATAAGCATTTTTCATACTATCATGCGAGATCATGTGGACTAACAGCACATTAGAAGAGCACTTCTTTAGAAACTTTAAGATCAGGGAGTTCTGTACTTGATCCCGAGAACTTTTAGTTTCAACTATTATTCTGTAAATATTTTCTATTATATCTATATTTTATTGTTTTTTTTTTTTTTTTTTTCCTTCCCATTGAATTACATCCTTAAATGAGTACTAATACAATTCACTTTCATGCCCACAGAGAGCGGCACGGCACTAGCAATCTCAAGATTTCATTTCTTGACTGTCACTCTTACAAACATTCTCTTTTCATCCATTCGGATGACTATGCAATTACACATAACTTTTAAATACTACAAAAGGTCCTAGGATGCCATTAAGATGGACTGGTAATTACACTTTGTGGTGGACTTGGTGTTTCTCTTTTGTCTTAATTTAACAGGATATTATAAAAATTTTAAAAGCATGTTTTTAGTTTGGTTTATTTAATTATGGCAAAGCACACTAGGGCTATCTGCCTAAGGGAATGGATGCCTCCGTGGAGGACTTTCTAAAAGAAACTGCCCTGTATACACGTTACGCATGGGAAAACCACGAAAACGCCCATGCAGCCAGCCCGTTTGCGGGATTCGAACCTCGGACCGAACTACCAGTGTTTAGCGACTTTACCGCTCGGCCGCTGGTGGGCCACTATGTTTTTGATTTCTATTTAATATAAAAATGTATCTGATAACTTTCATGGCATTATTTCCAAGCTAAAAAAATATATTAATTTTAGATATTAATACTGTATTCCCAAAAAGAAAATTATTAGTATCAAAAGTAAAAATACTAATTTCACATTAAACCACATTTTATAATTTCAGTTTTATACGTTTAACAATTTTTTTTAATTATTTTCGGAAACATGAAGTTTTCGACCACTGGAGACAGTGTGGTGTATATTATTGGATGAATCATCTGAAAAGTAACATAAATAGTGCATAATCACATGCTTTTGATTTACCGGTAATGATCAAAATGAAACTGCTGAAGTAAAAATAAAAATAACATTACAAATAGGATAAAAATATAGTTAAAAAGGCGGTATCTTACCATGTGATACGCAATAAGACATATTGTTCTAAATTTTTTTCAGAAAAGCGTCAAATTTTCAATTATGTAATAATAAACTATTAATATTAACAGCAGACAACTGAAATACCCACAAAACATAAGTTAAAGTTGTTCTACTTTGCAACTACTTCATGTTGTGAGGCTTGATCAAAGAATATAGACTTTCTTTGGCTTGATACTGTGTACATGATAGAAATGTGAGCTATAAATAGTCTTTAAAAAAGCCAATATAATTTATATATCATAATTTTATAAAATTTTAAGTAATATGTGAAACTCTAAGAAGTATTCTACTCATGATATTTATTTTATGAATCTTTAAAATTTTCTTATATGCAAGAAGGTTCCCGTTTACACCTAATCTTTGCATCCATGTGGCATACACTTGAAATTGTAAGCATAATATTTTGTTGGTGATTTTAGATTGAAATGTAAACACGCAGCAAGATTAACGATTCAAAATATCGCTCATGGAATCATCTAGTTTTGCTGATGAAGTTGCGAATTTATGTTACCAACATTTTAAACGCTTACCTAAAATAGGGAAACCACAACAGAATAAAGAATGGACATTACTTGCAGCTGTTCTCATGAGTACTGAAGTTCCTACTTTAAGTAATGAATAAAATCCTTAAATTGTACTTTGCGAAATGAAAAAAAAAAAAAAAAAAAAAAAGTTTCAATAAAAAATTATTTCTTAATAAAAAGATATATTAAAATTATGTTGGCATAATTATAATAATTTCGGTATTAGTTTCAGATACAATTTGTTCACAACAAAAAGTGTATAAATTGTATGCTTGTATTTGTTTCTAACATAGTCTTATAGTTCTGTTTTATTTTTGAAGTCGGTTTATTTGGTTGTAATTAAAGTGCAGGTTCTGAGAGTTACGTCTGATCCACATATTTCCGTCAAACTTGGCACGGTACAAAATCCTGATCCCAATATCCAGACCACCAATCCAAGAAGTAAATATATATATATAAATAACATTAAAATTGTGAAAAATTCTCATCCATGCTTACAAAGTCTAAGAATGGAGAATATAATATCTAAAAGACAACAAGTGTGCCCTAAAAAGTGATTTTCAGTTAATCTTTGGATTATGGTAACTTGGCGAAAATTTGGCGACCAACGCTGGTACAGCAACCTGCTAGTTTTGTTTTGGATGCCAGTTTGTATTACGAAGTAAAGGTTATTTTTTTTTTTTTTTTTAACAATCAACATTTTTTTCCAACAATCTGCTAGCCGAATTACACTTATGCTAGAACTTTTATGGAACAAAAGTGCTTAATCATGACGAATATTAGGTGCGAAATTGGGAGAAAGTGCAGAATCGCCCACTGCTGGCCGCGTTTTTAAGAATTGCACATACACGGTATCATCCATGTACACGTCGACCTATTTTCACTTTAAAAAAAATCCCAGAATTGCACAAAAATGGCATTGTGCACACTCTTGACTTTATCCATGTACACTGCTAAAGTCCTAGCTAGTAACCTTTATCGCGTTACCAAAAATGTCGCCAAACTACCTGTTACCATATTCCAAAGATTAGCCTGATTTTCTTCTCACTCTCACTGAGATTCCGGAAATATTTTCAAAGTCCTGCTGACTGGGGAGTAGTGCCGCGAATGATAATGGGTTAATTGACATGTTGATTACCAGGATCCCATTTTTAGTTCTATTACTTTTTAGGGGGTTAGCATTTTTCTATCTACCTAAATAATAGATGAAGACCAAGTGTTACCATGATTACAGAGCTAGGACATAGGTGAGGCACTTTCTTCAGGTCAACAACTAGAAGGGGGGCCAGACTGGGTATGCAAATTTAAAAAAAATTACTCTTATTAATTTTCAACTTTGAAAAAATCAAAAAGCACTGCTTTAAGGCACTGTTTTCAGAGTAATAAAATTTTATTAACAATTCTCTGTGCTGTATCAAGAAATAAAACAACAGTATTTACAATTATTTAAAAGCTTCATTCTTGTTGCTATATGGCCGATTGTCTAATTTCTACCAGCTACCTTCTGAATTTAAACTAGCTCTTTATGGTATTATTTCACCATAACAAGCTTTCCAATATTCGCAAAACTTCTGCTTAAAATTTGCATCATTAAATTTGACACACAGAAGTTCATTGGATTGGCATTGCAAGATTAAACATGGATGTCTATAAATTAAATGTATCTGTCAGATTCTTCCTATTTCTTTTATATAAAGTTTTGTTTGTGCATTTTTCATAATGAAATTTGGGTTAATCTTTGGATTATGGTAACTTGGGGATTTTTTGGCGACCAACCCTGTTACAGCAACCTGCTAGTTTTTGTTTGGACGCCATTTTGTTTTCACTAAGTGAAGGCATGTTTTTTTTTTCTCAACATTTTTTTTCCAACTATCTGCTAGCCAAATTACACTTATGCTGGAACTTTTATGGAACAAAAGTGCTTAATCATGACGAAGATTAGGTGCAAAAATGGAGAAAGTGCAGAATCGCAAACTGCTTGCCGCATTTTTAAGAATTGCACATACACTGTATCCACGTATACGTCGACCTATTTTCACTTAAAAAAAACATCCCAGAATTGCACAAAAATGGCATTGGGCACACTCTTGACTTTATCCATGTACACTGCTAAAGTCCTAGCTAGTAACCTTTGTCGCCTTACCAAAATGTCGCCAAATTACCTGTTACCATATTCCAAATATTAGCCAAAATTTGCTCTTGTATGAATATACAATTTGAAATTTTATTGTGATGCTTCCTCATTTAATTGCTTTCAATACTCTTCAACTAAATTCATTTATTGCTATTGGTAGAATAGGTATAATTGCTGCTTTTCCATTTGTTCTAGTGTTTATAATAAAACAACAAAATTAATTTTTACTATCAAAACATGGCTGTTTTAAATTTTGAACTCTGTTGTGGAAGAATTAGGACAAAGCATCTCGGCTTATCGTAAAGTAACTGGTATTAAGACGGCAGAGAGATTGATATTTCCTGATAGTAGTAATATCAGAAATAATATTTCTCATATTGGTAATAGTGATAGAAAATATAAATTACTTTATTAAAATAATTGTAACGAAATGTGTGATAAAAGTTATTATTTAATTTTTAAATTAAAATAAAAACTATATGAATAAAAACACTTTGATCTGTATTAAGTAAAGGCTTCATGGTTGAGTGAATAAATCCACTGAACACTAATTATTCCACCCTCCTTGAATCCTAATGAACAGATGGTTTTGGTGGCATTTTTTCTCGTTTTTGCTCAAGTTTAACATGAATACAAGGCAACTTCACCTGGAGAGGTTTCCACGAGGATTATTGCTTATTTTGTCTTAATCAGTTGATCAAACTAAATGGAAAATTTATATAATTATTAGTTTATTTCGATAAGTTTTTAATTTGTCTCAATTATTAAATATTCTAAGGAAGAATGAAAAATCAGTATCTGATATTTTATATAATTTTCATCTTGTTTTATTACATAACATTTACATAACTTTCATAAGGTATGAAATGATAAATGATTACAAGCTTCTGAAAGTATGATATCTTAAAGCAAATTAATGTGAATTTTTTTTCATGTTATTTGCATCAAATTTAATATTGTAAGAAACAGAAAATGTAAATAAAAACCTTAGAATCAAAGTCTGCAGCAGTACATAAAGCTCCAGTTTTAATACTATGATTAACTTGTGTTTGAATCCCTATTAACAACCTGGCTGCTTGGATGTTGCCGTAATTTTCCAAATCTGTAACATATATGCCACTAGTTTCCATAGAAAATCCTCCATGAATGCAATCTTTTCTTAACTAGGTAACTCGTGCATACTTTGATATGGTCGTAAGAGTTACATAAGCAAACATACATAATAAAGGTATTATCCCTTTGTATTTAGTTCTAAAAGTGATGATTCTTTTGGATTTTAAACTGCTATTAAGGCTAAAAGTTCATATCTTTTAAAAATATTTTCAGATGCAGTTTAATTCATTCATAATGAAATTTTATGTTTAGAACATTTAAAAGGGTGAGAAGTCTTCAGTCTAGTTAAAAGAGAAGCTTCAATAACCTTTGTAATATCTTCACTTTTTGCATGGCTATTCTCACCATAGAATATGAATCAATCATTAAATAAAATTAAAAAACTTATTAATGATTTAGCATCATTGAAGGCAAGAAAAACCGAATTACTAAAAAAAAAAAAAAAAAAATGCTTGAATGTATATAATGCAATGTTTTTTAGATTAAGTATATTACTATTTATGCTTTTTCAGTGTTATTTGCTATTCATTAGAAAGATAAATTTTAACATTCTTCATTTAAAAATTATAAATTATTATTTACACCATTATTCTTATGTCTTTATAAGACTGGGGTAAAAATATTATAAGATTATTTAATATAGTTACTTTTTATGAATAAAAGAGTGTATAGATATAACTAACTTGATTTTATATAAAGGTATGAATTTATTTACCTCAGGCGAAAAAATGTCTAGGCATAGTGCTGCATGATTATATGTCATTTTACTAGATTTAAACTGATGATTTAAAATATATAAATTTCCAAAATTCAGAATTCCGACAGTTCTAGATCTCATTCTTTGTGCTGTGTATGCAGTCTTGGATGCACTGTATTGATGAAAAGTTGCTGCCAAAACATTTTGCCGAGAAATCCCCATTTTCGCAGACAACAAGGGTTAAAATATGAAATGTAAACTAAAAAATGTTAGTTAAAACAATGTAAATACAAGTGCACTTGCCATTCAAAAAAGGGAAAATCAATAAATTATTTAGTAAAAAGGTGAAAAAGGAATTTTTGACAAAAAACAAGCAGAAAGAAGAAAAATACCCAAACAAAAATAACCAGAAACCTCTAAAATGGTTTAATGTCTTGCCATACGAAACAAAATTTCACCAAGATTGGATGATTACCATAATGGACAAAATATCACCATCTGACAGGTGTTGCATCAAGTACATCTGTACCATACAGTGCTGCGACCACAGAGAAGAAAGTTTTCGTGATTATGGGGAGTTGCTTAAAATTTTATTACCATTAGTGCTGACACTAGGCCTTCCTGCCTCTACATTTCTAAATTCTGCCACCAGATATATTCCTAACTCTGTTTTTCAGACCGAAGATTTTTTGCCTGACCTGACTACCAAATGGCATTTTTCGACAGAAATACTGTGCAAATTAAATATATATAAAAGTAATCAACTAATTAAGGCAACAACTGTGTAGCTGCATTGCAAGAATGTCATCTGATTTTGATATGGCTGGATCTCTTCAGATTTAGAAATAACTTTCCTTTGAAAGAAAATTTGATACTTCCTTCAACTGTAAAAGTTGGCTACCTTCAAACCATGAAAGTTGATAGAGATCCCATCAAGTTGCCTTAATTCTTCCTGAAAAATTTTAAAGGAATTGAAGACTCTCTATTTAATAAACTTTCAGTATTTAACCCACGTCTTAAAAAAGGCTTCCATTGATTTCTACAGTTTTGTTAGGCTCTCTGATTTTACTGGAAGCTCTGTATAGAATGCTATGATTATAAGCTTCTTGTAAGTTCCAATATGGCCAAATGCATATTATATGAAAACTGAAGCAGTGTTTAATTGCTTAATATTTTTATTGAATTTTGCTTACTTCAATGCATGATTTATTAGTAAGTTTGTCCACACAAATACTATGTACATTAATTAATAATTTTATTTTCATTGTATTTAAAGTACTTTGATAAATAAATGCTTTCCTTCACTACTCAGGATTTTCTCAGCATCAAACTGTAAAAGAATTAATAAATGAAATTAGCCAAAAGCATAAAATTTAGAATATTCATTTAAATGCTACTAGTATATTTTACATCAGAATTGAACTGCAAATAGTATAATAACCTGAATCATGCATCATAAAGTTAATTTCTTGTAATCTTACTTCTTTTAAAATGATGATCTAAAATTCAGTATCATAGAAGTCCTGACAAAGTAAATATTATTATTGAGTGTCAGAAAATAAAATGCTGAATAATTTCAAGAATTCATTCTACAATAAAAATATATTTTTTTATTTATTTTTTTATTGTTGTTTTTTCTATGGCCATAAAAAATTCAGTAATTTATTATAAAATATGAGAATTACTAAAATATTTATTCCTTTCTGTAATTTTTCTAAGCTATTTTTTAGAAGAAAAAATGCCTTTTATGTGTTTAATATGTTATGTATGTTGCGTGTTATGTGTTCTGTTATGTGTGTAATTCAAATTTTAGCTACTTTAGTTTGTGATAGCCATGCAGAAGTACTCGTTCGTCAGTTTGAGTGTTCCTTTGAATTTGTGTCCCCAATTTTTAAGATTTCAAGGTTGGCAGTTATGGCAGTGTGGTTTACAACTGTTAGTTATATAATAATTACTGTTAAATTTGTTAACTGTTTTAGCTGTAACAATTTCATTAAATCACTGTGTGAAATGATGTTTTTTGTGACGGAGAAAAATTGATGTAAAAATCAGAAAATTTTAATGCTGAAATCTGTGATTTTTTGTGGATGTAGATTTTGCATTATTAAAAAAATTATTTTTAATATTTCATTAAACTTATTTAGTGATATGAATTGAATTTGTTTTGAAGTATGTATTTCAATTAGATGCATGTATTAAGAGCTGAATCAAAAAAATTCCTCTTTTATGAAGCATATGAATTAATACCGTTTTGTGAAATATCTGATTTAATATATTCTTTCTTTATCATGATTGATTTGAATAAAATGTTCTTGAATTTTTACATAAAGTCAGACTATTTGTTCTGTGATTTATTTTATTTTCTTGATTATATCACTGTCTGCTTTTGTTTTAATTCCTTCAATTTTTGGAATATTGTTTCAGTACTTACAATTTTTGAAATGTTAGTCATAAAATACATAAACACTTTTTGATAACATGACATGCTACCTCATCAGTAATGTTTCACGGCTTTTTGGTTAGAGTGCAGGTAATCAAAAAGTACCTTTCTTTTTTTTTTTTTTTAGAGCCAGTAACCTTTCTGCTTATTTATCAATTCTATATTTAATCATGAATCACAATGAATAACAAATGCAGATTTTCATCTTTTCTTTCTGTCTGTTAAACGTTCAAGTAGTACTGATGAATACTCATTCTTGATCTGCGGTAAAACTACTTTGAGGCTTAATTTAGATGAATCTGAAATGACATGTGTTCTAATGAAATGATTGATAACTTAGCTTTTCATTAAATCAGTCGTGTTTTCCTCTGACTAATCTTTCTATGTATAAGAAACTTTTCATTATTATTGGTAGCAAAATTGAATAATTTTTGGACACAATTCAAAATCTGAGTGCATGTCATTTATATATAGTGATGGAGGCAGAAATCCCAAAAAGAAAAACTTACGAATTTTAGATATCTTATACCTCATAATCAAATGATTTGTAATTCAACTGAATACATTTTTTCATAACAAAAAAAAAGAAGTTATAAGTCATTTGTATATGATGATAATTTTAGAGAATATGAGCAGTAATATAAATGTATATCATTTTTATTAACAATATCTTAATATGAGAGCAGGTTGCCACTAATTATCATCAAAGACACTGCATACCCCAACTGAAAATTAACTATAATTTATATCAGAAAAAAAAACTGTTTATTTAAGATGTAGATTTATATGCATTCATTTTAAATCTATAATGTAATTTCAGAGATGAAAGTTATATCATTAAGTACTGGAACAAAATGCTTAGGATATTCACAACTGAATGATAAAGGTATGTATAATTTTGCATAATAATTTTTGAAAAATTTAAAAAATGAAAATATTTTTGAAAATGACATGAAACTTTAAACTTATTTTAACATCTGTGTTCTGAAGATGTATAATATCTTGACTTTTGTAATACATTTCTATACTCTAATATTTAACTCAAATTTTTCAATATGTGCATGTAGTAACCTGTAATATAATAGACATAAGATAAAAGCTGTATTAATTGACTGTTAGATAACTAAATTGCCACTGCAATACAAAAGGGAAAAAACCTTGTGAATAATAACCAGACTGATCTATTATCTGGACCTCTCATAATTTTTTCCCCCTCACACATTGTAGGAACAAATAATGTAATATTTCCGCGAAAACAAGCATGATGTAAATGGATTTTTGTTCTGATTACCGGAAGACTTTTTCTCCCTCCCAAAAATGTCATTATGCGTATTGAACCATCGTGCATGCTGTTTTTGGCTTTAAACTCTTGCCAGCGTGTGAATCACATTTTCATTTGCATCTCTCGATTGGTTGTGAGGAGTAGCATTTTTCTATCTTTCTCTCTATTTTTCTAGCCCTGTACACAATAAGTAAATCCTCAAAACCAATTTTTCGAGTAGAATACTGCTCATATTGGTTTCCTTTTGCTGGCATGAGCAGTGAAAAAAAGAGAATGTCTAATTAACTAAAGCTCAGTCAACACTGCAAACTGCATTTTTCATTAGCTAACTTCATCCACTTATTATTTTGTTCAGTCTATTATTATTACTGTTATCTACTGTTATCTTATCAAAAGTAAAGTTTTAGCAAAAAAAAAAAAAAAAAAAAAAAAACTGTTTTGTTTTAATTTTTTTTTCAAACCTTCATGAAACAGCCAATGAATATTCAAATTTTGCATATGCTGAAATGCAGATAAAAAATATCCTTTTTAAAAGCAATAAGACAACCATCCTAAAATTCTTGGAACTTTTTAATGTAAAATCTGCTGTGCGAAGCATAGCAAAATTATGAGAGAATAGATTTGCAGTTTTTTTTTTTTTTTCAATTCTTCCTTAGCCATAGGTGATATAATTAGAGGAGTGTTAAATTAAAGAGAAAGAATTAACACATGAAACAAAATTGCTTAAACAACTTATATTGTAACTGTTTTTAGTAAATGAAACAAAGGTTTACATTGATATTTCTGTTTTAAAGATCATATGTACTTTATTATTTTACAAATAGCCTTTAATATTTTAAATTATATCATTTTTACATGTAATCTTACTAAATCTTAAAATGATGATCTAAAATTCAGAATCATTGAAGTCCTGACAAAGTTAATAATAATATTATTATTGTTATTGAATGTCAGAAAATAAAATGCTGAATAATTTCAAGAATTCATTCTACAATAAAAATATATTTTTTTATTATTATTTTTTATTGTTTTTTCTATGGCCATAAAAAAATTCAGTAATTTATTATAAAATATGAGAATTATTAAAATATATATTCCATTCTGTAATTTTTCTAAGTTATTTTTAGAAGAAAAATGCCTTTTATGTGTTTAATATGTTATGTGTGTTGCCTGTTATGTGTGTAATTCAAATTTTAGGTACTTTAGTTTGTGACAGCCATGCAGAAGTACTCGCTCGTAGAACTTTTATGAGGTAATATTTTTAAATTAACTTTTTATCATAAAATATTGTCCTGTACTTTGGCAGTCTTTTAGTAATGATAATTTAATATTGCCTGTAATAACTGTTAGATGCATTGTAGATAAGATACTTCATTTTCCTAAAAAATTCTGCCTTTTAAGGATTTTATTAAACCTAGAGGTATTTTAAATTGATTCTATAATATGGTATTGATTACATATGATATTGATTTTAATGTACTACCGATAAATCATTCTGTAATTAAGTAATCACCATGCATGTTTTTCAAGTAAAACAGTGGTTGATTTATATTATTTTCTTCTTCCAGTTATCTAATTCATTATTTGTAATAATAAGTAAAATTAATTCAAAATATCTGTAATATAAGTAATCTAATATCTATAACTAGTTCAAAATATTATATAGTTACGATTCATATCATGTCTTTCAAATGTTTTTTATTTTGTATTTATAAAATTCGTGATTTTTATCTGAGTATTAATTACATTTACTTTTATGCCTGACAATTTCTTTAGTGCTTTTAACTTTGCAGTATAAATTTTTATTCATGTATGCTTTTTTGTTTCTTCTTTGTTAGCTTTCTGTATCATCACTTAATTCTGGTCTTGAACAAAAAATATTCTGCAGTACTATTTTATGATGAAGTAGAAGATAAATTTAAGCTAAGATGTGGCATAAAATTTCATTTCTTTTGTAGCCATGTTCCATGTAAGTTTCATTTAAAAAAAAAAAAAAATAATAATAATTTTTTTAATTGTTGATTTTTGTATATATGCCTTGGGGTGTCTAATTACTTTAATAGTAATTTTTCTTTTATATTTTTATGTCCTATTAAATCAGCCTTATGAGGCTTTGCTATTGTGAATAAATGATAATGTAGTAAAGAAAAATATGTTATACTGTTAATGATGGCAAATCATATTCATAATAATCAATAATTCTTTTCAGCTGCTTTTTATTTATGAATTGAAATTGTTATGCAAAAATGTCTTTCAAAAAAATTGATATGCTTAAAAAGTTGATTATTTCAGAATAATCTAAAACGTAAAGATTAATTATACACTGCTAAAACTATTTATGAGGAACTATTTTTTTTTTAATTATGCGTTTAGAAATACATTTGAATATTTATAAAAAACAGTCAATCACACAAGTGTCCGTAGATGACTAGGAGGAGACTTTAAGGACCCTACCTTTACGCTAATACTTAAATTTCTGTTCTGTTTCAAAATGAGGGGGAGCTGTAAATATTTAGTGCCATTGGTATGTGTGGCCACTGAACCAAAGTATGAAGTTGTAATTTTTGCCCTTTTCCTAATCAAACAAAGACAAGTTACACAATCTTCTGTAATAAAATTGGTCTACTTATGGGATCTAGCAATGCACGATGCAGTTGATATTCCCCCTGGAATCCAAAACATGGATTATTACTGTACAAAGTAATACCTGTGACTTTACTTGGAAATCTTCATTTTTTAAATTTATTCATCTGACTGCAAATACGCAGGTGGCTCTTCACAATTAATAGGTGAAGTTGAAGAATTAGCTAATATCCTTGGAATAGACAGGTTTGATGGTGCTGAAAAGAATACTTGACATTCTAGTACCTTGATTAATTTTTTGTCCCTGATTGGTATTCTATCTTTCAATATGCAAAAGCCTGTTGTGTGGCTTTTGATATGATTTACACTTATGAATACTCTTGCACTCTCTATAGTAACAGACGATGGACTCACTGGCCAACTAAACTCTGCAGTCAAAAATACTTGGAGTGTCTTGAATAATGTTTAGTCTCTGGACGTAAGGGCATAGCTCACTGATTCAATGACAAATAAACTAAGTTCACCTCTTAAGAAAACTGAAAAGCATTGGAGCAAAGAACTATCATCAGTAACTGCTTATGAGATGAAAATTAAACTGAATTCTATGAATTTTTAAATTACGTCTACTTGTAATGTACTAACATGCATGACTTCTCAGGGTAATATTTATCAGTGCTAAATAAATGCTGCAAAGTAATCTTTCACATATATATATTCTTAATATCTGTTGATGACTATATTAAAAAAAGGTTAATACCCCCCTGAAATGTCAGCCTTTTTTCATGAAATCAGCAATGATTAATTTTCTATTTTAATATTGTATTTTTAACTGACCAAAATCTTCACTAACATGCATGACTTCTCAGGGTAATATTTATCAGTGCTAAATAAATGCTGCAAAGTAATCTTTCACATATATATATTCTTAATATCTGTTGATGACTATATTAAAAAAAGGTTAATACCCCCCTGAAATGTCAGCCTTTTTTCATGAAATCAGCAATGATTAATTTTCTATTTTAATATTGTATTTTTAACTGACCAAAATCTTCAGTGTATTAAAATAGTTTTTCATTACAATGGATTTTTACTCTACATTTTCCAGGATTATAATCTTACCATTTTATGAATATATACAATATTCTATTATTACTTGTTTGTTCACGCGTAGGACTTTTTTTTCTTTTTCCATTTAAAGTTCCTTAACATTTTTAGCTTCATATGTTGCAAAAATATCTGTAAATTTTGCATTAGCTTTCTTCTAAACAACTTAATTACAGTAGATTCCAAAATGCATAGTATGTTTTGTTTCTGCACTTAGATCACAGAACTTTTGAAGTAGTAAGGTACTTATATACATAGAACTTCTAAAAGTTCTAATTTTAAAGAAGAAATATTTTTTATCTGAAAAAAAATTCTAGAAACACTTTACATGAATCTATTTTCAATACTGGAAAACTTAATGGGTATCCAAACATTTTGAAAGCATCTAATAGAGGATTAATATACAGCTTTATTTTAATAGAGCTGTTTTAATATAGAGCTTTATTTTTTATAAATTTTAATAGAGGATTAATATAGTATGATGATTTCAGATATCATCTTTAGGTTGAATGAATTTTCACTTTTAGTCATAAAAGTTTTCTGCTTGAAAGATTGTTTATCAGACAGGTTAGCTTTTTCTCTCAATCAACCGCATATGCCACTATAAGTTTAAAAGGAAATTCACATATCTGTTTGAAATGCATAAAAATTAAAAATTAGCCATGTAGTGACCGGGCATGAAGGAATAGTCTCAATTTAGCACTGTTATAGTAGTGTGACTAAAATGGGTACTAGTGTCTGGAGATATAGTCAGGCACCCTGCATTTGGGAATTATATCGGGGAACTGGCCCTCCAGGTTCCACAATGAAAAAAAAATTCCCTGTTTCAAAATCTGAACTAGAAAATATTCAGCGCCCTTCTTGCGGACAAACTCGGGAATAAAGACTTTATTTTTGGTTCATGGAATGTTCGTTCTCTGTATCATTCTAGAGCTTTGCATGAGCTTATACAGCAGCTCTATAGGTACAAGTAGGTATTGCAGCACTCCAGGAATTCAGGTGGACTTGGCAAGATACAGATGACAAAAAATCACATATATTTTTCTACTGCTATCATAACAAAAAGCACATAGAGAGAACTGGTTTCTTGCTAAATAGAATCTTATTATGGTATTTAGAGCTATAATGCTAAGATTACATAAGTTATGTATTAGGAGGATAGTTTTCAGTTATAGCATTTTTAATTCACATACCCTTACTGAGAACAAGGAAGATGAAGAGAAAGATATATTTTATGAAGAATGTTTTAAGAGCTGTCTACTTAATGATTTTAAATATCACTTGGTGATCTTAATGTGGAAATGGGTAAGGAGTAAAACTGCTGAATACTAGTTGTTTGATGTGGGTTTAAATCTAGGCAAATGGGCTGACTGTTTGGAAGTTTTAGTGGTTTTTCTAGTGGTTAATATGATTACATGCCAATTTACATTAAGAAAACTTCCATAAACGTATTGTTTCTCTTAAGCATATAGCCTTCATATACTTTGTCATACTCTATGGTTAATTTTTCTGTGGCCATCAGTTTTCCTGAGAAAATAACAAAAAATATATAAATATACTAATAAAAACTGCAGTTAAACCCAATATAATTGAATAATATTGAAGCATGTGTAAAACCTTAGATGTTAAAAAAACATTCTTGAGATTGTCTGTACAAAAATATTTTCTCAACTGATGTTGAGAATGTACTAACCCATTTACATGTGGAATTAACATTAATTCAATGAAGTGGACGTCCTTGAATTTATGAAAAAGAACAAGTCCTCAATGAAATCCAGGTTAGCAGATGTACATCAGACCTCTGATATGAAAATTCTTAATAAAAGCAGCATGTCTCCAGGCATTTGAAAGTTGGCTGCAGAAGAAAAGTGTCAGGCGTCTGGAAAGAAGCAATAGTTATCACTAGTATTTCCTTAGATTCCTTCTGTTTTTTAAGAAACTGCTATATTAGAGAAGAACTTGGTCAGTTTTTAAGTACATCAAGTATGAAAATGGCATTTCCCTTCCCCCCCCTTGCAGCGCACACTATTTATTCTGAGGACTGTTAGGCCCATTTCAGGTGCTGAGTTTGACATGAATACTCAAATGATCTAGTGATTTAAAAATTGCAGAAACATATAGTGAGAAAAGAAAATAGATCAACTGAAAAAACACTAAAAGTTATATATAAATTGTATCTATTCATATCTGAAAAACTATCTAAACAGTTTTGAGTAATACTTTAATCATTTTTCTTTTTAATTTAAAAGAGAAATCAAAATTTGGTACTTTCAGGCTATAGCAATCACTGTGAAAGAAAACTACTGAGCACAAACTGTGTAGCATTGGGGGGGGGGCTGGCTGCTGGGCAGGAAAAAGATAATGAAAGCGTTATAAAAAAAAGCAAAATGTTACACAATTATTCTTACATTTATTTCTTCCATATAGTTTGTCACCTATGTTTCTTCCTGAAACTTAATGTTATAAATTATCTCTAATGCTTTCCTTATTGATTATGCTTATCTACATGCTTTCCTTATTTCTTTCTGAAACTTAATGTTATAAGTTATCTCTGCATGCTTTTCTTATCGATGTATAAATGTTTTTCATAACTACATTTTTTTATATTCTGTTACAAAGTAGCATGGCATTTTCTTGAAAGAATATATTTTTCTTCTTTCTTGGTTATTTGAAAAATCTGATAACACCTCTTACATTTGCAAGAACTGAAATATTTTTCATTTTGTCGTATGTAAAATGACATTTTTGAAAGAATATATGATCTGTGTAATGGTGCAAGTAAGATTGGTTTCTCATTGACAGTTAACTTTTTTGATGATGTTCTTTAACAGTAACTGATATAATATAATGATAATACTGATATAATAAAATTAATTTTAATATTTTGTTGATATTATAGGTGGTGATGCGGCTATTTTCCCAAAACATATCAAAGACAATGATACACAGTTAAAATGGCAAAACATTGACGAAGATTTGGACAGACCTACCAAAAAATTAAAAGCTGACAAAGCGAATGAAGATAATTCTGTCATAAATACTGAGGATAGTTCCAGTATGGATATGAAATCCTCTTTTGATATATACAGGTTGGTATTTTTACACAATTTGTAGTTAAGACTAGTCTGTGTATTAGTGATTATGTTTGGAATCATTTGTTGTTTTAATTTAACTACAATTAGTGAGCTATGTCTAATGTTTGAATTATCAAACATTAGGCACAGCTCACTAATAAAGTGCAGCTCTCCTATACAGCTAAACAACTGTGGTTGTTCTTGATTCAAAGACAATAAGGTATTAGAATTATTTTGAGGATGTATAAAATCAATTCATTTTTTTATATAACTTTGATACTTATGATGTATGCATGTTTCAATTTTATACTTCTGTAACACAAGTATAAAATGTGAAGATATTATGCAGCACAAATCGTAACATCAGATAGCAGCACAAATCCTTTTAGGTTAGGAGAACCTTTTAGGTTAGGAGATATTCTTCCACCAAGTGCAATCTGGTCGACTTTCAACTTTGTTGTGATTGTAATCTGTGATTGTGATCCAGGTAAAAGGTAAACTTACTGTTTTTTTATCATATCAATAATTATCATATTTATATCCATTAGATATATATTCGTCATGACTGAAAGAAAAAAAAGAAGAAGAAAAAAAAAAACTTGAAGATGAAAACAGACCGTTTCAGAGTGAATGGGAAAATTTGTACTTTTTTATTCATGTAAAAAACAATGCTGTATGTTTGATTTATCATCATTCAATTTCAACTTAAAAATCATACAACCTAAAACGACACTATGAACAAAAACATGGAGAAATTGATAAACTTACTGTTGGCAAGCGGAAAGCTAAGTTACAATCTTTGAAGAAAAATTTGACATCTCAACAATGCATATTTCATAAGCAAACTGTCTAATCAAATGGTATTGTCAGTGCTAACTTTTGAGTAACCCACATTATTGCTAAAAAATATGAAGCTTTTTACTGACGGTAACTATATCAAAGACTGTCTAATTGCCACAGTCGAAGAAATCTGTCCAGAAAAACTGAATCTCTTTACTCAAATTAGTCTGTCACGTCAAACTGTAAAAAGAAGAATAGAAAATATTTCGAGTGAGATTTGTGCATCGCTAAACATAATTACAGCAAGCTTTGTATATTTCTTGCTGGTTTTGGATGAAATGTCAGATATAAATGATCCTACTCAACTTGCTATTTTTATTAGAGGTGTTGATAGTCAAATGAATATTACTGAAGAACTACTCGAACTTGTGAGTTTGAAAGGTACTACCACTGGAAGAGATATTAAGGATGCTGTCATAAACTGTGCATAAAGTCATCAGATAGATTTGAAAAATCTTGTAGGAATTGCAACAGATGGAGCCCCTTCAATGGTTGGAAAAAATGCTGGTGCTGTTACATTAATTTTTGATCACATAAAAGCTTTGGGAAATAGTTCAAATGATTTTTAAATGTTCATTTATCATTGTTTTTTGCACCTTGAGAATCTATGTGCACAAGTGTTAAATATGTCTCATGTAATGAAAGTTGTTGTCAAGGTAATTAATTCAATTAAAAACAATCCATTGAGGCATCATCAATTTCAAGAATATCTTAGGGAACTGGAATCTGAATACAGTGATCTCATTTTTTACACCAAAATTTGGTGTTTAAGTTACGGAAACTGCTTATTGCTATTTTGGAAATTAAGGGAAGAAATTGAAACTTTCGTGAACAATAATGGTCATAATATAAGTGAACTTTCAGATGATAAATGGCTTCTAGATTTATATATTCTAACAGATATAACAATGAAACTGAATGAGCTAAACCAGAAGTTACAAGGTGAAAATAAGTTGATTACTGATTTTTTTATCAAGATATAAAAGTTTTTGTAACAAAAACTTTCAGCTGTATGACAATCAATTGCAGTCAATCAATTTGATTCATTTCCCATTGTTAAATAACTGTAAAAGTGACCATAAAAATTTCTTTAAATATTCTATGGAAATCGGAAAATTACTTGAAGAATTCAACACCAGATTCTCCTACATACAAAAGTTTGAGGAAATGTTTACAATATTTTTAGCTCCATTTAATGTAGAGGTGGAATCAGCGCCTCCAAATTTGCAAATGGAGCTAATAGAATTATAATCAAGCATCAAGCTAAAAAGCCTGTGTGAAGGGAATAAGATTGAATATTATAAAAAATATATCCTTGAGGATAAATTTCCAAATTTAAAATGATTGGCTATGCGCATTATATCAGCATTTATAACTACTTATTGCTGCGAGTCATTTTTTTCCAAGTTAAACCTGGTAGAAACAAAGTATTGCAGCAGTTTGCTTGATGAAAACATGACTAGTCAATTATGATGCACGACGAATAAATTATCCATTGACATTAAAAAATCTCAAGTAAAATACAAAAACAAATGTCACATTAATTGTAAGGTAATAAAATATTTTTAATAATTTGTTGCTTCATTTTGATATGTGCGGCCCACCTCAGTTTAGTAAATTTTTACTAAACCACCAACTGATTTGGGTTGGGCAGCCCTGTCCTAAATGCTTGTCACTCTGCCCATAAGATTTCACAGTTTTTCTGCTTGTGACATAAGCTTTCAGAAAAAATATGGCTGTCCGGCTAATCAATATCAAAGGAGATGAGGTTTACTTGTCAGTATATTAAATTGCTGCAATATTTTTATGACACTTCCATTTTAGTGACATTTTCTTTGGGGAAAGCAAATCATCCTCCACCAAAAAAAAAAAAAAAAAAAAAAAACGCACATGACAATGATCGATTTTCTATATGAACTTCTGTTAGTATATATGTGTATATATATATAAAGTAAAAAATTTAGAACCAAATTCACAAAGACATGGAAGAGCTGAAAATTCAAAATTTCCTATAAGTACGTAAACAGTATCAACCAGTTGTAACCAAACCAGAAGAATTTACTGTTATTGAATTTCATGTCTTTGTGAATTTGATTTTAAATTTCTTTCTCTTTATCTATAATTCATTAATTTATTGTATATATTGTGTGGAAATAATATTGGGATAATCTTGTTTTAAAATAAAAATTTTTGTCTTTATATATTTACTTTGTTGCCAAAAAAATACATACACTTAGAAAGAATTCAGCCACAACTATGAAAATTGGCAGTAGTATAGTGTTCAAGTAAATAAACAAATGATCAAAAATTGGGGTAAAAAAAGGATTTTATTTATGAGTAGAAATACAAAGAATGTGAAAATCAGTGGGTGGTAAAGCCATGCCTGGTAGCTATGCAAGCTGATACTTGGTTGGGCACAGAGTCTATAAGTTGCAATGTCCCTCTGTTAGACTGTGCCGTAATTGGAGCAACTAGTCAGCGAGTTGGGGCGTGTTTGTACACGGCAGAATTTGCCTGCCCAGCATGTCCCAAACCAAACATGTTCAATAGGCAACAGGTCTGGAGAGCTGGCAGGTCAGTCAAGGACATTAACATGTCAAAAACATTGTCCTATTGGAAAACAGAACCTGGTCGACCTGCTGGCATTAGGCATGATCAGCTGCGAAACGTCATCAGTGTATCTGTGAGCAGTCAGAGTACCTTGCATCATGAATAATGGTGAACAGCTTTTCCAGCTGACTTCTTCCCAGACTGTCACACCCTGTGTTCTGGCTGGTACTGCTCGATAATAAATAGTACATTGGACCATTGACCTCTCTATCTCCAGACACATAAGCGGTGGTCATCAGTACTGAGAGAAAAGTGTGATTCACAGCTGAATGTCACATTTCTCCAAGTGTCTTAATGGGTGTCGAGATCTGAGCCTAGCATCACTTTCTCTGAATCCTATACCTGGATATCCCAGGATCCCTGCAAGTTGGCAAATGGTGGCGTTTCAATGATAGATTTTTTGCATTTTATGAACTTCTAAGTAAACTAAATAATCTAAATGTATGGATATATTTTGGTCTTTACATATGTGCAAGCAAAATTCAAAATTAAAACTGGGGAAATATAAGCAAAATTCAGAAAGGACTTCTAATCTACATAATTCTTAGTTCTAAGGGGTGAAGATTATCAGAATTTTACTGTGTTGCACTTATTTCTGTGCAATATGTTATAATGCAGTAATATTTTTTTCAATGGCTGGACATTTGCTCGATTGCAATTAGGAGAAAACGGAAAACATTCTCAGTGATAAGCCATAAAAAGCCCATTAGTCTTTTTATGGCTTATCACTGAGAATGTTGCCTAGGGTGTAAGACAGGTGATAGACTGATATTGCATTTGTGAGAAGGGGGACAATAAGCATAAATAAGCATAAACAACCAAGCCATATGAGGAAGTTGAATGCACACCCTTGATTTTGGACTAGTGGTCAGACTTTCATAACCACTTTGTCATCCAAGGTTACTGTACTGCAAGATTTGCTCCTTCTCAACCAAAACTCTTTCAATATGTGACATTACTGACTTATAGTCTGTATCAAAACAGCTACTCCCTACTCTCTTTATTTCTCATACCTATATAAATCAGGTGGCATTAGTGAGCATTGGGAAGAGTGTAACCTTGCTCATCTAATGATTGTGATATTGTCTAAGACCGTGCATTGTAATCTAATAGGTAAGTAAATAAAAGACAAAGTATCAGATAATTTGAGAGCTTCTGTTATATAGAGTGATATTTTGATGTGTCAGTTATATATATTTCTCATTATCATTGCCGATAATATGTCTTGTCTTAGTGATACAAAGTTTAAAGCTCATAATAGAATGTAAAAGTAGCAGTGTATAAATTGACACATTGGTTGCTTTATATGCTATAAAAAATTTAACATCTGATGCTACTGAAGAACTTTTCAAAGCTATGAATAATTTTAAAAGCTATAATTTTAAAATTGAAAAGGTCTTTTCAGTTTTAAAATTTCAAAGATAAATAATTATTTTTTACTGATTTCTTCAAATATGCAAAAGATTTTTTTATCAAATGTCTGTGTTATATTGTACATAACTTAAATAACTTGTGCTTAGCTGGATTGTCGTTATTTATTTAAATTACGCTGATTATTTTAAATTGCATTAAAATCTGAAATTTATAAACCTAATGCCAATATTTTCATTTTCTCCATTATTTTATAATTTTGTGATAATGTAGTAGTAATTTTTATTTCCACATATTAGGTTATGTTGTTTATAAGGTCACTTTAGAAAGCTTCCTAAAACTGACTTTATAATGGGTTCATGTGTCTTATTTTGGACATTAATCTGTGACTTTTAGATTTATTCTAGCTAAAGGTATTTTTAAATTCAGTTTTTTATTGTTATGTTTTTATCAATTTGTTCAAAGATGACAAAGAAGTAAATTTACGTAATCTATATCTGTTGCATAACTTGTAAATTACTAATGCATTAATATTGTTGCAAATTTCAGTAAATATTTAAATTCTTTTATTTATATTGCTGTTTTGGTGCAATGTTGTAATGTTATATGTTGATTTGTTTATTGAATTATTTAATTTTTGCATTAAGGGTTATAACTGTAGGATGCATTTTTGCATAATTAAATTGTTGCCATGTATTTTGTATACTATAAATGTTTATTTCTTTTATAAAATTAAAAAATTTTTGTTATTCTGAATCCAACAATCTTTAAATTGTGAGAAAAATTGAACCCAAGATATGGGGTGAGACTTTCCTGTTGGAACTTTGCATCTTTTCTGAAGTTTCTGGAAAATGCATTTTTAAAGTTCTGGATGCAGTTTTACTTGAAGTTTTCAGAAGGTCATGCAATGCCATATAAGTATGACTCGAACAGCCTGGATGAATTGGTTGTTTGCCTTGAATAATTTCATAAAGAAAGTTAGCGGAGTTGTGTTTTAGTATTTGCTTTGTGAGTTATATCACTTTTTCTGGTTTGTTAAGGAGGAATTGCCTAATATTTGTCTTCTCTTTTACTTGCTTTCATAGCTATTTATTTTGATGTTTAATGTTATTGACTACAATAAATTATCAACTTCATCATGCTGCTTTCTGATTATTTTGATGTTTAATGTTATTGACTACAATAAATTATCAACTTCATCATGCTGCTTTCTGATTATTTAAAGAAACATCCACAAACCTACAGCTCACAATAATACATATGTATATTAGAGCAAGTACATTGTTTTGAATTTATTTTGCAGTCATTGAAAGTGCTCTAATTGTAATATATTCATATAGTGCATTTTGTGATAAAGCAATGATTTTAAAACATAAAATTGAACATTAATATTAAAACATTAAAATTGTGTTATAAGAACAGGAGCTAAATGTGTGGAAAATGGTGTGCAAGATCCAAAAGCAGCTGGGAAAGATTTCCATGTTATTGGAGCATTAAGAACTAAGCCAGGACGTGGAGATCCAACTTGGTCAATGTCTTGTAGTGATAAAATAGCTCTTTGGAATGTTTGTGGCTTACAAGGAGCTTTGCTTTCACACTTTTTTGCTGAACCGATTTACTTATCTTCATTTACAGTAGGCAAGTAAGTATTACGGAACATGAATAAACAGAATTTTTATATATGTTTTATGACATATTCAAGATGAAAAAAATGGCATAGAATATTGTAATGCAAGTATATATGTAAAAAAAAAACTATATAAATCAAAATTCTAACTTTAATTTGCAAATGGCTTAATTTGCTCTCTATTTAAATTTGGATATTTTCCCTTTTTGTTTTAAAAATAGTGACTACTTGTAATAAATATCTAAATTGCATTATTTCAAAGTTAACCCATGTCATATAATTCTTACATAATGTTAATGATGCAGGTGCTTACATAAACACTTTAGTGAATAAGATTTACATTTGGTACGAAAACTTTATATTATCAACCACTGGGAACATTATGAATTGCCATAAAATGGAGAAAAGATACAAATGTGATGGATGGATGCAGACTGCACTTATTACAATGCATCCCATTTTAGGAAGCTTCTCGAGAACTGTTTTATGTAGAAATAATTATATGTTAAATTTGCTGCTATGACTGTTAGCGTCTTTTATGCACCAAGCTGCATCATGTTCTCTGCTCCATTGAGACATGAACTAAATCATCACATGCATATATGTTGAGGATAGTCAACAAATTATTAGACAAGCGAAGTTTGTAAAAAATATTACTTAAACACCTTTTCTCAAAATACTTTTCTGAAATCCCTCTGTACACTTTTTATCCTCAGGAATCATAATTTGAAAAATACTACCATTAGATATTTGTTATTTTATATGTTTTAACTGCTACTTCTAAAGTGAGAAAATTTTATTTCATAGTACAAAAAGCATGGAACTGTTTTGAATGACCATATTTACCTACACATTTTTACCAATGCAACTATGGATGCTGAAAAATATATAAAAGTGAGTTTTTAGATCCTTATGTCAAGTTGCTTAGAAATGCAATCAGTAATAACTTTTCTAATAGAGGCTATTGTTCATCCTTTTTATACTGAACTAGTGATTAAAAATTTTGACCGTGAAGTATTCCAGCAGATAGAGTGGCTCACATATTATCCAGATTGAAATTCAGTAGAACATATTTGAAACACATTTGGATGGATGCTATGAATTGATATTACCAGCTGTTTATCTGTTAATATCATCATCTGGCAATTGATATTACCAGCTGTTCATCTGATAGTGCTTCAGACATTCTGTCTTCAGAATAGATTTGTTTTCTTTGCAGATTAATGTAGTCATGAAGTTGTTAAGTCTTAAGAATCAGAAGATATGAGTTTAATAATTCATATGTTTGAAAACTGCATATTAGTGATATAGATAATTTATGTATGTGACTTCAGGTACAGGTATAAGCAGAAGTGGGCAAGACATCAAAATTTTACTGTTGGTTGTACATGTATAATCCAGCTGCACTTACTTTGTAGCCATGTTTCACTTTTCTTGGAGAGTACCCTAGTGCAGCGTTTCCCAACCTTTTTTGGCCAAGGCACACTTGTCGCGGGGAAAAATATCACGAGGCACACCACCATTAGAAAATGTTAAAAAATTAACTCTGTGCCTATATTGACTATAATAAAGTAATTCTCTTGAATAGGAATCAAATAAGCACAAAGAAAGTATTTTATAATTACTTTATTATGAAATATTAAGTAAACAGAATAGTGAAAAATTATAAATACTTTCAGTGCGAAACCTGGGCCTGTTTTGGCTGAACACAAAGCTGATATTCTGGCTGGAATCGAAGAAAGACACACACGTAGCTCTTCGTCAACAGTTCTCAGTCTCTCTCTGTATTTGGTTTTCATAGCAATCATGCTTGAAAAGCTAATCTCACACAGATATGTAGTGGAAAAAGGGAGCAATGTCAAAATAGCTTTGTTTGCCAGAAGGGGGAACTCCTTGGCAGTATCCAACCAAAAACTGTCCAAAGGTAGATCAGCAAATCTTAGCTTGCAACCACGATTTTGTCTCAGTTCAATTAGTTCCTCCTGCTCCTGTAAAGTCATTTCCTTTCCAACAACTGATGCTGAGCTATAAGGGTCCCTAACCCAGTCAAGGCATTCAGTGGAGACTGAAGAGAAATAAAATGACAACTTCTCCTCAAGAGTTTTTAAATGCTTAACTATTATCTCACACAGTGCAGCAGTGTGAACACCTTGCCATTGCATGGTGAGTGTGAGCATTTCAAGATTGCCACTTTCCACATGTTGATACCAGAGTTGCACCTTTAACGGAATCCATTTATTTTATCTGTACTTGTAAGCAGGTTTTCATTTCGGCCTTGCATTCGGGTGTTCAATTCATTCAGGTGATGAAATATATCTGCCAGGTATGCCAGCCTTGCACACCACTCATCACTTGCAAGCTGCTTTGCGTAATCTGACCCCTCATTTGTCAGAAACACTTTAAGTTCCTCCCGCAGCTCATACACACGAACCAAGACCTTGCCACGCGACAACCACCGGACCTCCGTATGAAACAGCAGGGTTTTATGCTTTGCTCCCATCTCCTCACACAAAGCTGCAAATGTGCGACTTTTCATGGGTTGTGACTTTACAATGTTTACCATGCGCACAACATCATCCAACACATGAACTAAGGCTGATGGTAAAGTCTTGGCTACGAGGGCCTCGCGGTGTAAAAAACAATGCGTAATAATCACATCTGGATTTCTTTCCTTCACTCTGCTTACAAAGCCTTTGGTGCGCCCGACCATGGCTGCAGCTCCATCGGTGCAGACACTTGTGCAGTTTTCCCACTTAAGTCCTCCTTGTTCAAGGTATTCTGATGTGACCCGAAAAATTTCTTCTCCTGTTGTTTTTTCTGGCAATACCTTGCAAAAAAAGAAGTTTTCTCTAATTGCATCACCATCAACAAAACGCACATTAGCTAAGAGTTGAGCATGTCCACTGATATCAGTAGACTCGTCAAGTTGCAATGCAAATTTCTCACTGATACGGATCTTTTCCAAACCCATACTTTCGATGTCTGCAGACATGTCATTAATACATCTGGAAATTGTGTTGTTTGAGAGAGGGACTTTAGCTATTTCCTTTGCTGCTTCAGGTCCGAGCATCTCCTCTACAATAGCTTTGCAGGCAGGAAGTATTAATGTCTCTGCCACAGTGTGCGACTTTTTTGTCTTGGCTATAAGTTCAGCAACTTGATAGCTAGCTTTAAGAGCTCTTTCATTTACCTTTGTTGTTTTTCTCATAAAAGTTGCCTGTTTCTCCATGTTGTCACGCAGGCGAACAAAATAGTCCACATTCTTGTTTTTTGAAGCAAAGGGTGTTTCGTTTGGAGATGGCGTTTAAGTTTGCTTGGGACCATAGCACTGTTAGCTAGCTTTTCACCACACACCACACACAGTGGAGTTGGTTTGTGTTCATCTCCAGTGAAAGTAAATCCAACTGAAATATAGCTTTCGCTATATTGCCTTGTGCCAGAGAATTTAACCATCTTTGCTTTCTTTTGACCCCCACTCATACTCGGGCTCTCATCTGGCTCCAGATTTTGTTCAGAGTCCAGTTCTTTCCTTTTCAAAAACTTGTCCATCACTGCAGTATCAGTGTCTCTCTCCTCACAGCAGCCGTTGTCTCTCTGACACTGTGTGAGGCGTCTGCCTGCGTCTCATGGGGGCGGGGACACGGTGGACACTTGTCAAGATTGGCAGGGGGAGGAGTTATAGCATTGCACAGCGCCGTGACCACCTATGACACTGGCGGGGGGAGTGACGGGAGGAGTTATAGCGGGCGAACAGCACCGTGACACCCAGACCCGGCGGCACACTACGGTGCTTCAGACGGCACACTGGTGTGCCGCGGAACAGCGGTTGGGAACCGCTGCCCTAGTGGATGTGTACAGTCTCTTATTCCTCTTCCTTTACCACCAAATCACTTAAGAGGACTTTGAGCTTGCCAGTGTTTTAAGTCTTCCCAAGCCATACAAACACTATATGCTTACAAACATCAATACCTTTTTCAGGATTCAGACTTGTAGGATTTTATGTTAATTAACCATTTATTATGATTTGAACCTTTACTTTAGCTTCTTCTTTCCATAGTCCTCACCGGAATGCAAATTAATTGTTGTTTATTTAAGCTAAATGTTTGAGAGTTAGTGCTTCTGGCAGCCTCACTTTGCTGTTACATTCTCTGGCCAGCTTTGCCAAGGTTATTCTGGCTTTAGCCACATTGCTAGCTGACATTTAATTGCACACCATTAATTATTTGAGCTAGCTTATGTAGCATATTGTGCGTGTAGTTTCAGATTACATTACCTAAATTTCAATTTAACTTCATTATATGTTAATTTAAATACCTGTGAGTAGCATAGGTTCATCAGAATTAAATAAAAAGGTTATTTTAACTTTCCATCAGTTTGCTGTTGTTTTAGATTAAAGTGATAACTTACTTTTCAGTTTAGTAGGATCTGAAGATCAGTAATTTGAATTCCTGTACATGCAGTACCCTACAAACTTAGATCCAATGATATGGCAGCCAACATTGCTAACCACTGTACCAGTCAGAATGATTATGTTTTAAGATCACTCATCATTTATGTGAATATCTCTGAACTTTGGAGTAAGAGATTTAAGAATTTCATTTGAAATAAAATTTCAGTGTTGTCATTACAGCAAGTGCCAACTTCCATCACTGTAGCCTCCACCTAACATTCTCCAGGAGCTTCAAGGCACTATTCATTCTGAATATACTTTGTTAGTGTAGCAGCTGCTTGGACAGCAAAATACACAGAATTGAAAATTGCTGTAAATCTTGCATTTCAGGCAGTAGTCAAGGCGACATATGTATTTTGGTATTGTTGTTTTGAATTTTTGAAGGTTCTTGAGAGTGATATGCAGTAGTGTAAAAACGTGGTTCCCTACCAAATGAGTTCACTTGCTGTAATTTAAAAACATACAATTTAATGTGTGCTTTCCTTGAGTTTAACAAAATAAATGAAAACATCATGTTGGACTATGAAAGGTTGGTAAAACCACTGCAAGTTTCCTTGTTTTGAAATCGCTACACCTCTCTGGAATCACTAAGGCACATCAAGAGGACACACAGTCTTCACCACACTCTCTTGTGGATTCTCTGCGGGATTATATACTTTACCATTTTCTGCTTAGCACAGCCACAAAGGGAGGAATGTAAATTTCTCAACAGCTATCAATATACTATCCCAACAGCTATCAACCAACGATTAATATATTATTTATAACTTAAGATTGAATTAAGTTGTAATAATTATTATAATAAATTAATTATGTTAAATTTATTAAAATTATCTTTTAAATGAATTTTAACTTCTAACTTTTTAAAATGTGTTTTAAATTTTGAATATACTATTTTTATGCACTCTAATTTATACATATATTTAAATAGTGGTTTATTTCTGATTTCACTCATTCAAATGTAAAATTAAAAAAAATTTTAATATATAAGCAATATTTGTACTTGTACATGATTAATTATGTTTAAAATTTAGATAAATGAATAGTCAGATTTTGATTTTAATTTGCTAGTGTATATGTTTTATTTTGCAGATGCCCTTTTGAAAATAGTGCACTTCAGCGAGCAATTTTTGAAAGAATATCAAAAGTTACAGACTTGCCACCTCAATATCATGTAAATAAACCTGCACTATACCAAAGTAGTTTCTGTTTTGAGTACAGCAAAGAGAATCTATTAAAGAAAAATCAAGCAATAACTCCTTGCCCTGCATGTAAGTATATTTTAAGAAAATGATTTAAATATATCTATTTATATTAATATTTGTGTATACACAGACTCGTACACCATGTCTACAAAGCCCTTACATAGTCATTATTTTTGCAATTGCTGGTTATAGATATATGCTACGAAGTACAGAAAAGTTTTAACTAATTTTTGGTAGTTTAAAATATATCATAATTTGAGATTGACTTTTTTTAAATTTGTAAATGCATTTATTTATATTTTTGTGGCTTATTAATGTGTAACAATCTTTTAATTTTATTACAAATGATATGTTGCATGCTATAAATACATTATTAATCTAATGCACTCATATTTTTATTTATGGAGACTCTCAATTAACCCAGATTCCCACCTCTGCCATCTTCGATCAAGATGGAATCATTTTTATGAGAACATATTACACCTCAACTTGCAGGCTTAGTAGGTAAATTAAAAAAAAAAAAAAAAAAATTCTACCTACACCCATTTGGCCAGTCTAGTTGACTCTTTGTAGATGGCTAAAAAATGACAGTTTGCATAGAAATGCAAACAAATATTATCTCCAACTTTGAAAGGAAATATCTCAGTCAAATTTTGTGATATGAGTGTCATGCTTTTTGTAATTTTTTTTATGAGTATAAAATTTCTCTAAATGTAGGTATAAGAACTGAGGGAACATGCGAAATATTAGAGTTCATAATTATTATAAAATTGATTTAAAAAAATTTAAATGCCAATTGAATTTTTTAAAACACTTTTATATTTGAAGTATATATGTATGACCAGCAATTGCAAAAATAAAGGCCAAATAAAGAACTTTGTGAACATGGTGTATATTATTTAAATTTGTATCATAGTGTTCATAGGATATGCAGTTCTCTTCTTCTTTTCATTTGGGTACATGAATTAAAACTTTATTCAGAACACTGTAACTGACAAATATAATTAAGAATGAAGAAATAAAGTTTTAAATGTCCTTAAAGAATGATGTTTGTATGAGAACTTGAAAATATGATTTGTTTTTTGGCATGGCTCATCTGGCAAACATCATCTGATCCCATGTAATTTTCTTTCATTTTATGTTGATGGTTTGGGATAGTAAATTTTCCTGTATACCAGTATAGGAAAAATTAAGATTATTTTTTTGATAGGATCTAGTTAATCTGCCTGTGATTAATTGATAGCATTTAAAATTAGCCAAAACTCATAGATTAATGTTACATAAAAAGCCCTCTACATGTCGAAGGAATCTGTGTTTTTTAATGAAGAGAGACTTGCGTTGAATTTTGTAAAAATGCTTTGCAGTTTTCTATGAAACTAATTTTTTTTTTATATTAGTTGAAGAGGAATTTTGTGTTAGACTACTGATGTTCTGGTTCTATTTTAATCTGTAACATAAAATAATTGCTTTTTTTAGCTATCATTTGGAATGATACTTTTAAGCCTGTAGAAGTTTGCATTGATGGGAGAAAACAAGGTGTTACCAAGAAGAATTTGAATAAACCCTCATCCAGGTAGGAATATTTTTAATGAGCCACCCTAATTATATGTCACAGTATTTTCCCTAAAAATATCATATTCCAAAGCATATGGAGTGATATTCATTTGCATAATTAATTACTAATAGGATAAGGATTAGAATAGAAGAGAAACACGCTAATGTGACAATCAAAATCATAAAAACAACCTTGTATTTAGCGTAAGTATATTGAAACAATCGATTTCGAGGGCAGCTAAAGGTCCCTCCTCATCAGGAGAAAGAAATACATAGAAAGAAGAAAAATAAAGGGGAAGGAGTCTCAGAAACACGTAGTCCTTATTAGCACTGCACGTGGTTATAACCGGATTTTTAATCAGAGTTACACTGGCTGCCTACTTTTACTGAGCCAGGCTATCTGATCAAACATGTAACACATTTTTGCCGATAGATGGCATTACCTCCTCGCGTTTGGTACTACCAGAGTGTATAAAAATCCGTTCAGTAGTTGCTTTCCATTATTCGAAGTTCAGATTTTGAGTGTGAAGGTGCATTTGTCCCTCGCTTCCTATTTTTAACTTCGCTAATTTTTCTTGTCCTTTGTGTTACGTGTTTGATCAGATAGCCTGGCTCAATAAAAGTAAGCGGCCAGTGTAACTCTGTTTAAAAATCCGGTTATAACCACGTGCAGTGCTAATAAGGACCATGTGTTTCTGAGACTCCTTCCCCTTTATTTTTCTTCTTTCTATGTATTTCTTTCTCCTGATGAGGAGGGACCTTTAGCTGCCCTCGAAATCGATTGAGTGTTTCAATATACTTACGCTAAATACAAGGTTGTTTTTATGATTTTGAGGGTAAGGATTGTTTTATGATGTGAATTTCTGTGATTATATTTATAAATTTTAAGAGATTTTTAAATAATTCACTATTATCAGGTGTTTTTACAAATATCAAGTAAATCCACAAATTTCAGGTATTTTCCCATTATTTTCAGTTTTCTGTAGCAATTTTTAGATTATTTTTCATATTTAAATATATTTATTTCTAACTTCAATAAAATTTATGCAAAAAATACAATGTAAAATACATTGGTGTTTAAAATTAAAGTTACAGATATATTTTTTACAATAATTCAAAATATATATGCCTAATATTTAAAAAAAATTGATACAGCATATAATTCAGAAAATGGTAAATCTGATGTAAGTATCTGATGGCTGTCAAAAGGATATATATTTTCAGAAAACTTGAGAGTGACTATTTTTTGAATTTGTAAAAGTCATCTATAGAGCTGCTTCTCTTGCAAAAAGAATCACAGTATTGACTAGTTTCAGTTAAAATGAGTTGTCTGAATTGTTTAGATGATGAATTGAAGTGGAGAATCAATGATATTGTGTGAGGCTGACAAATATAAAGTGAAGGTCTTATAATTATGAGTGTCTTGAATTATTATATCCATGTTATGGCATAGGTTCTATATTCTGAGTACATTCATTAGGAAACCTGGCTAGGTCCAGAAGCTAGAACACCTGCTAAGGATCAGTTTCTAACAATAAATTCCTGACACCACAGAGCGATTACAGCTAGAGAGCTGTCTGAGAACCTGTAAGCTGCATCTGAAAATCAGTTTCTAAATGAATTGTGTACAGGTGTGTAGCAGAGAAAGTCCTCACACCTGGTGACAATAGTATATGTCTTTCTAAAAGATCAGAGGTAAATACCTGTCTTTAAGGGTGCCAAGCACACCATGTAGGAAAATGGTAAATCAAGTTTCAGTATAGAGAATGATTCTCAACAAGATTAGGAGAGAGCCTGGGCTCACTGTCATTCGTTCAAAATAACTGAAATTAATCGTTTTGACATATTGGCAACTGTTTATGAATACTTTACATTTTACAAAACCAAAGTGGGAAAATTATGAGCAATGTTTTTAAATCCATTTTATTACTAATCTCACAGACTAAGCAAATCAAGAAATGTCTCATCCCTACAATTCTGAAGAAGTAAGGAATTTTTTGATTTTATAGTTTAGAATTGGTGCCTTAATATGCACATTACCATTCGAGACAAGACATATTAGTAAATATCAAGCAAATTCCACTTCAGGTTGGCTAGCCTCAAGTCTACCAATGACTTTCTGTCCTAATCTATTGTTTAAATGATTCTGAGAACTTTTAATTGAAATCAGTTGATTCTGATTTTTCTTGCAAGAAGTACAATTCTATAGCTGATTTTCATAAATGGGAAACCAGCAACTTTTACATGCTGTTTAAAAATTTATCCTTTTAACCTTTTAACAATCATTAGGTGATTGCACTAAATTTACTGTTTTCCAGATTATATAAGATATGAATTTTTAGAATGTCACTGGTAATTATTTTAAATTATTACAAAAAATATTTTTGTATAAATAGTTAATTTATTAAAGGAAACTAAATTATTTCCATAAAATTAGGATTATTATGTAAAATCAATAGTGCTGCCATCAACAGTTTTTTAATTATATGCTTTTTTTAATTATGATAGCAGAACTAAATGGAAATAGTTAGAGACATGTGTTGTGGTTTTTACTATGTATGTTTCTGTATTTTGTTTCCAGAAAATAGATTATTTGTCTTTATATATTTTGTGTTGTTAACTTGCATTAAAACAATATGTCTTCTAATTAACCACTTTTAATATTTCCTTTAACTTTTCTAATGTTCTTTTTGTAGAGTAAGCATTTGCAAAAGTGTTTTATTTGAAAAATTTCTTGAAGTATTGCAAGAATATCGCAGAAATTCCAAAAAGTGAGTATAATAATTTTAACAATTGAAATAATTTGCATTTTACTCTTATATTCTTGTACAACATGTTTTAGAAATATCATTTTGCATGTAAAAAATATATTTTTGCAGTTTCATATTGTTTTTTTGCATGCATATCCAAGAGTTCTACTGTTTTAAGTAATTTCTATTGAACTGGATTAAAATTGCATATATTTCAGTTAGGCATACTATTATTTGGGAGGAGGCTTGGACAAATACTGAATTTGTTTGGATTGGAGTTCTTGCAGTTTGCAGGAATGGGTCAATTATCATGGTTATTGTTGCCATGAAAACTACCACAGTAATTGAATGCATGATAACTAGAATAAATATTGCATATAAAATACAGTTTAATTCTGGTAATTAAGCTCAATTATTCTGGTAATTGAAAATAATTAAAGGATTACCATCATCTGATTTTCTGAGAGATAAATATAAAATTTTGCTCTTTTTATTCTGTAAAAATATTTTGATTCTTTTGATTTTGTAAAAATTAAACAATAACAGGTCAAAATAAAAGGGCCTAAAATGCACAGTTTTAGTTCCATGGCGTTTACTACTTAATTCAGTAAATTTTATCTCTGAAATACTGTTTGTTGAGGGGTAATTTTTATTTGTGTAATTTTTGAAAAGTGAGTGGTAACAGTAGTATTTCTGAGTGAGTGGCAAGCAGTAATTAAAGTTCAGTGTTCTAGTTCTTTCCCTGTTCTATAAGATATTTTTTGAGTGTGTTTTCTGTATGATATTATAATTCTGTAATGTTCTGTATGATGTTATATTCATGAGTGTTAACATTCTTTTTTGCTATATGTCATTTCATTATCAATAAAGAAATTCAGAATTTTGCAGAAGTCATTTTTAATTTGATGTATTAAATTATGTTGAAATATTCACTCCATGAAGAAGAGGAACCTGTGTTAATCTCTCTCAACATGTGTCCAGTTTTCTAAAATCATGTCTCATTTGTCTAACGTCAAATTTCTTGTATGATTCTTCTCTTCTATGTAATAAAGCAGTTAATTTTTTATTATGAAAAAACTGTACATATTTTTTTAAGAAAGTAGCTTTATATTTTTCATTCTCTCTTATATAGATTTATTTCCTAAGGATATTGTTAATTACTGTTCGAGAATAAAAGTACACAAACACTAAGATTTAATGGACTGTAGTTTTATTCCTGTCTGGATGGACACTCTTGCCATCACATAGGTGCACCTCCCAGCACGCAATCAAGAACCATAATGGCCACTAGCAAACCACGTTGTCGTTTTCTCTCATCGTAGTTGCCAGATCACTTCTGCCTTAACATACCGCCCGAGTTGGTCATTTGTTACATAGTTAACAATGACCAAAATTAAACAGTTTTAAATCACCATATAGTCCAAATCATATATCACAAAATTTAAATTGATACACATGAACAAAAGCAATAAACATAATTAACCACAGAACATGAAATGCACAACATCTAAATTAAAATACAATGCATATATATAACAAGACATTTTTTGAACTCAGGAAATATACATGAAATTATGTAACATGTACTGGTAGTACAGCTAATTTAGTTATTGGTCTTTTTAAAAAACCTGACTTGGTTCTTACAATACAAACTCTAACCTTTTTATCCTTACCATAAATTACCTCTTCTATTTTACCCAATAACCAAGTCGAAGTGGACATGTTGTCTTCCTTTACTAAAACTATAGTGCCCTTTTTAACGTTATCCTTAGAGAAATACCACTTAAATCGTTGCTGTAAATGACTGATGTAATCATTTTGCCATCTTTTCCACAAATATTGCATTACTTTAGTAGTGCGCTGCCAGCGCTTTAAAGAACTATCAGAAAAGTCAGTTAAATCAGGCTCTGTTATTGATGTTAAAGGTCGCCTGACTAGAAAGTGTGCGGGTGTAAGAGCTTCTAAATCAGTGGTGTCATTTGACAAAGGGGATATTGGACGTGAATTTAAAATTCCTTCAATCTGGTTCAAAATTGTAAGAAACTCCTCAAATGTAAAAATCAATCTCCCAACTGCACGCTTAAGATAAAACTTAAACGACTTAACACCTGCCTCCCAGATACCTCCAAAGTGAGAAGCCCTGGGAGGGATAAACTTCCAATGAATTCTTTCAGATGTCAGATATTTGGTTAAGATTTCATCAGGGTATTTCAACAAATTGTAGAGTCGCTTCAATTCATTGCTAGCCCCAACAAAATTTCAAGCGTTATCGCTAAATAAGGTTGCGCATTTACCCCTTCTAGAAATAAATCACCTCAAAGCAGCAATAAATGATTCTGTAGACAAATTTGAAACGATCTCGAGGTGGACTGCACGAGTCAAGAGGCAAACAAAAATTGCAACATAAATCTTGTGCACTACACTCTTTTTCTGAGTTGTATACTTTATACCAAAAGGACCACAAAAGTCAACACCGGTATGGTTAAAGGGAAAGGATGGATTCAGTCTCTCTAATGGTAAATTTCCCATCTTTTGATCAAGCAATACTGGTTTTACCTTGGCACACGTAACACATTCTCTTACTATCTTTCTAGCAAGATTACGTCCACTTATTGGCCAAAATTTTTGTCTAACACTATGCAAGAGCGCTTGTGCTCCAGTATGAAAGTTTCTAATATGATAGTGTAACATAATTAAATGAGTCAGTTTATGATTTTTTGGTAGAACAGCAGGGTGCTTGGTGTTAAAGGGCATGTTAGCTTCCTGCAGTCTACCACCTACTCTAATAACTTGAGATTCATCTAAAAAGGGACATAAAAATTTTAACTGACTATTTTTACATACTTCCCTTTTCTTACTTAAGTTCTTGAATTCTTCAGGAAAACTTTGATGTTGGACTAAGGAAAGTAGTTTATTTTCGCTTAACGAAACCACATCTACTGTCAGATGACCTACTTGTTTTTCCTTGGATCTACAATTTCTTATAAATCTTAAAACATAAGCAAAAACATTAATTAATTTAGCTTAACAATTAGTAATACTAAAAACATAATCCAAAAGAGAATTTTTAACAGTTACTGTCAAATTTACATTGGAAATAAGTTTCAGTTCGCGCACATAGTTCTCATTTGAATTTTCAAAGTTGTTAATAACACTATTATAATTAATGACCTGTTGATGCAGAAAATTTGGTCCTTGAAACCACAAAGAGTTGTCAGCAATAATTTCCGGGCTCAGACCGTGAGAAATTAGGTCAGCGGGATTGTCTGCAGTTCTGACATGTTGCCAGCAGAAATACTTAGTTAGCTCTTGGATACGAGCTACTCTATTTGACGCAAACACTTTTAGAAGATGAGGAAATATAGCAATTCAGGCTAACACAATTGTTGAATCTGTGTACAGAATAACTTTGTCAAAATATAACCTCAAAGATGTTATTACCTTACACACAAGTTTGGAAAGGAGCTCTGCTGCACACAACTCCAGATGAGGAATGGTTATTACTTTGATAGGCGAAACTTGAGATTTGCTGCAAGCAGTAAGTCACTTTAACTTCGTCCAATTTCAGAGGACACAGCGCAAGTAAATTAACTCCACCATATCCAAACTTTGAAGCATCAAGCAAAACAGTGGAGCTCAATTTCTTTAATTGAATTCTATTAGAGTGTAACAAGGGACTTTGATTTGTTTCAACTCTGGTAGGGCCTTATTGAAATGTCTCCCATTCTTGTCGCTCTTTGAACGGAAAGTGGATCATCGCTACTCTAGAATGTAAAAGCCACAGCCTTTTGCAGGAATATCTTAGCAAAGCATGATTACAGGCCCTAGGAAACCTAAAGGATCAAATATGTTTAGCAATATCTGCCAAAACTGTGCGTTTTGTACAGATGTTAGTGACGAACTAGACACAGTAAAACTTAAAAGAGTCTTCTTCTGGATTCCATCTTAAGCCCAGGAGTCCTTTACGGTGGCTTGTGTGAAGATTCTACAAAATGATACTCTTGTTTTTCGAATGGAACGTTGTTCTAAAAGAATTTTGTTTGTTTGAGCACCACTTGTGCAATTCCATTTTCGCAGATTGTAGCATGTCTATTAACTGCTGCTGCAATTCTACAGCAGAGGTGAGACATCTTCTGCACCAGACAAAAATGTCATCAACATAAAAATCGTTGAGTGTCCGTTTTAGAAGCCAATTGGATACTTATCCTTTTCATCATCTATGGCTAACTGCTCTCAACACACTTGTTGCTAAAAAAAGGCGCTGATTTTGTTCCATATGTTACCGTAAGTAATTGATAAAGTTTAGATGCGTCATTCAACGTATTTTTCCAAAGTATGCATTGAAGTTTGCGTTGCTCAGGGTCTATACGAATCTGCCGATACATTTTACATATATCAGCAGTGAAAGCCACCTTGTGTTTTCTAAATTGTAGCAAGATAGAAAACAGGTCATCTTGAACTACACCTCCATTCATCAAACAGTCGTTTAATGAAAAACCAGACGATGAAGCAGTGGATGCGTCAAATACCACTCGTAACTTAGTTGTACTGCTCTCTGCTTTATAAACAGCATGATGAGGCATTATGTATTTATGAGTTTCCGTCACACTCTGCATTTTTTGCATATGCCCTAACGCTTCATATTCACTCATGAACTCACAATACATCCTAGACATGTCAGGATTTTTGTCTAGTCTCTTCCACAAATTATTTAACCGTTGGGTGGCTAATTGCGAAGAATCGCCCAAATGAACATCTTGCCTTAATGGTAGAGTCACTACATATCTACCCTCAATATCCCTCTGATGATTTTTCACAAAATGCTCCTCACATTCTACTTCTTTATTTTTTATTTTGAGAGATTCTGTAACAGCCTCAATTTCCCAAAAGGACTTGATTAGTGAATTTAAGTCTTCTTCGACTTTCATAAATCCACACTGAATTGTATTGCCTGAATTTGAACCAACATTTACACTGGTAGCAATGTATCCAAATACGGAATTTTGAAGAGTTAAATTAGAATTTCGTGGATGAATTTGATCAGCCTTCAATAGTTCATAAAAGCATTCTGCATCTATTTTCTGGGCCTTGTTAAAATGAGGATCCGCTAGTTTGATCTTTTGCGGAAGCTGTAAAAATGAAAAATTAAAATAATTCACTGGTACTAAATCATTAATTTTAGGTACAACAAAGAATTCAAGAGCACGGTGGTAATCACGCTTGTTTGATATCACAGCAATAAGCTTGGATTTTACCGATAGAGCTTTTCCATTTAAACATGAAATTGATATGTTAATTTTATTCCCTTTTATTCCAAGCCTATTAGCGAAATCATAGGTGAAACATGAACATTGACTTCCACAGTCAAGTAAAGCTCGACAAGCAATAAAATTCCCGCAAGTAAATCTTTAACATAAATAGTAGCAGTAGATAGTAATACCTCCTTCGAAATCACTTGTGAAGCAGTTACAGACGAAACAATAAATTCCGAATTGTTTATTTGATTGCAGATTAGATAATATTTCAAAACATCTGGTGTCAGCGTTCAGCTCTGAGTTGTCTACTAAAAGGGGGGTCAGAATTATTAGCCGGTGCTTCCTCCCTCCCCACACAACTCGCTATAGTAGCATGTGAATGCGAAATGTCTTGATTGGGAAAATGCAGTAAACTATGGTGTTTTTTTTCATGCATTTTGAACAGCTGAATTCTGAACGACAGTTCTTTGCAGAATGAGTGGGATTAAAACCCAAGCAATTAAAGCATAATTTATCTTTCTGAACAAATTCAAGACGTTCACTTACAGTCATTTTTAAGAAAGAATTACATTTATACAACTTGTGAAAATTGTTACTTTTACAACAAATACATTTAAAATCTTGACCTTTAACATTTGACACCAAAGCAGTCACCTTTTGAATAGGTTGACCCTTTTTCGCATTAAACACATTAGATGTTTATAAGTTAGATGACTTTGACGACTGCAAAGTTCTAGCATGATTTTTTAGAAATGTAATAAGCTCAGATAATTTAGGTAACTCACTTGTTTTTGAATCTCTTTCCCACCAAAGACGAGTGGAAACATCCAATTTTTGCAGCAAAATATATGCAAGAAATGTTTCTGCAAATCCCTCTATTTTTTGGTCTAATATTTCCAGAGACCTTACACTTTCATTCACTGTGTCTACTAATTTCAAAATAGAAGATGGGCTTTTATCTGAGCAAAAACCTGATCACGTTTATTGGAGTATCTCTCTTCTAAAAAATCCCAAGCAATTTTATAGTTACTGTCACAAATTGTGACTGATTGAATAATCCTAGCTACTTCGCCATGAAGCGATAACTTCAAATACGAGAGCGTTTGGGAATCCGATAATGCATTATTATTATGAATGCTTGAAATGAAAAGATCCCGAAAGCTTAACCAATCTTGAATATTTCCACTAAAAGACGGCAAGTTTAATTTAGGTAATTTCATACTTTGTGCACTGGTATTTTCAATCTTTACATTACTTGCATCTTTAGCACTAAATTTTGACATTTGCCATTTAACCTTAACCCACAAAGTATCAATGCTCTCTTGAACAGTTTGCTGTTCAATTACATATTTGCCAAACTCATTTTCATCAACTACTTCAAATAATTTATCAAAAATCTCTGAACACTCATTATTAAATTTTGCACATTTATTTTCAAAAAGTTGTAACTGAAATTCATCACAAGTATATTTTTCGAAATCTGAAGTTGCTTTCGTTATACTTGACTTTAAAATTCTTTTCTTAATTAAAAATGCTTCCATAATTAACGTTAATTAATAATACCGAACATATATGAGCAAATTCACTTACCTCCGTTTGAGGTAATGCAAAATAAAACTGAAATTTCTCAGTCACACACTAGTTTTTAATTATCTTGTCGAATGCGAAGTAACATATCACACTTTTTTGATGAATTTAACACTTCACCTTTAAGCTTTTTAACTAGCACTTTATCCATAGGCACTAATCTTCCTACCGGGTTGCACGGACCACAATATGTTCGAGAATAAAAGTACTCATAAAACACAAACACTAAGATTTAATGGACTGTAGTTTTATTCCTGTTTGGATGGACACTCTTGCCATCACATAGGGCACCTCCCAGCACGTAATCAAGAACCATAATGGCCGCTAGCTAACCACGTTGTCGTTTTCTCTCATCGTGGTTGCCAGATCACTTCTGCCTTAGCAATTACAGTTTATTTTATTACCTTGTAAAAATTTTATGAATATTTTTTTTTTCTTATTACAGTCAAAAGTCGTTAATTCGGACACCCATAATCCGGACCTCAAAGCTACAAACTTTCTGCGCATGCGTCGCGTTCACGCATGCGCACAGGCGTTTACGAGAGCGCGTAAGACCCTTACGGCTGCGAATATGTTTGTGCGCATGCGCGTTTAATGTGTAACTGAGTTATACGCTAAGCTAAAGTTATCTAATTCTGTTAATGTTGCAGATTGTGCTGTTCCTTAATCTTCAAATTGGATTCGGCTTATTATTTTTTGCAAACTGTTAGAGCAATTTTATAAAAGTAAGCTTGAACTTTCGATTATGTCAAATAGAATTTCTGATACATATTTACTAATATGTAAAGGATCTAAAAAGTGAAAGTGTCTTTCGAAGTCCATTAACCAAAAAGTGGAATTGATACAAAAAATGGATAAAGGCATATCCTTTGTTTATCTAAACTTTAACATTTGTTTATCTAAACTTTGTTTATCTTTAACGCCGTGGCGCACAATGAATTGGAAGTTGATCTGTCAGCACTATCCTTATCTTCAGGGCAGATGTTTTTATTTTATTTGGCTTATAATTCCTTACTAAATGTAGTATTTCATCTCGATGTACTCCGTCTTTGATATGATTTAAATCAAATTCCTCGTCATTATAATTCACTTCCGATATCGAAGAAAGTGACAGAGGTTATTGAAAACGAAAAAATTTCGATTGACAAATTAGTCGGTATTCTTGATACAGCAATTATAGGACTTGAGCAGCGCAACTTTGTAACTGAACAAAAAATTATGTCTGTTTATAGAATTAAAGAAAATGTATTATCACATAAAAAACGAAACAACTTACATTGAAAGAAATGTTCAATAAAGTAAACAAATAAATATTAAGCTTTTTTTTTTTTTGTAAATTTTGATACCCTTTAGATCATAACTGTTCTTTATTTCATAAATTACGGTGTCATATTTTTAATTTTATAATTTCTGCATGCCATCTTACCAGATTTAAACTGATGATCTATAATCCGGAAAAATCGATAATCCGGAATCACCGAAGTCCCGACGAGTCCGGATTAACGACTTTTGACTGTATTTAAACATAATTGAACTTTTGTTTTTTTTTATTGCCTGAGACAACAATACTTAGTTGGAAACGCTGTCTTGGAATATCCATTTGGCTTGTTTTACTGTAATAAACATTAAATGTGTTCTAAACTCTTTGTATTTCGTGTTTTTTGCCCCATTTCTATACAGTTGTTGCAAAGAAATATGATTTTCAGTTATATTCATAGCAGTTGTACACACTGTGTCCACTAAAGTTCTTATCTGATCGTGATTTTCACTACTATTGGTCATAGACTTTTACTTCCAGTTACAAAAGTGTTTTAAATGATGCAGATTTTCATGTTTTAGCATTTTAAAATTTAAAACAAAAAAATCAGTTTTATAAAAATTGTGAAATCTAATTTTTTATACGGTTCTTTGGCCCCTATACTTATGTTTAGAAATGTTTTATCTCATTATGAAAAATCAAAAGCTAAAAGTTGGACTTCCATACAACAGATATTGAATACGATATTTAATTTCAAAATTTGTGATATTTGATGTCCTTTTCAACATACTATTTGCAATTTGTCATGGGTCAGTTAATAAATAAATCTGAATAACTTGAGGTTTATTTTGGCCCCTTTCACTAATATTATTTTGTGATAAGACCATTAGAATTTTTTTTAAAAAAGTACTTTTTTTAAATATTTTGTAAAACTTTCCAAATTTGATAAGTCTATTTTTTGTTTTTAGATGCACATTGGATGTAGAAGGCAAATTAACATACTGGAATTACAAAGTGATTGCACAAGATTATCAAAAAGCAAAACTTTCTGTGTTTAAAATATTTTCTGGTTGGAAGAGAAAACCATACCTTTTGCAAGATTTTCATTGTCGTGAAAAGAAATAATAAATTTATACATCTTAATTTACCATTATTTCTGTAGTATATCGATACAATAAACTGACTTATTGTGACCAACATTTCTTTGTAAATAAATAATCGTCAGTGTTTATGAGTAGAATAATTTCTGAAATGACTTCTTAATTTGAATGAGATAATCAAATGTTTATTAAACTGAAACACCAAAATGTCATTTTTCTCTATGAAATTAAAAGCCTTTTTATGTACTGTTACGAATTTTGTATATATGCAAATAATTTTAGTGACATTATACGTAAAATTATAATATCTCTTGTATGATATAACGTAACATGCCTCGAGAATGCAAAGCTCCACCGGAAAAATAAGGTTACAAGGACACATTCATTTAATATTGAGGTAAATATTTATCTTGCCAGGTTTGCAAGATAGTGCCAAGCTGGCAATGGTTTTTATCATCTAATTGTTATCACCAAATTTCGTGAGAAGTGGCAAACTTGGCAACATTCTGGTACAATGCCTGTGTAATTGTAATTGGTCTTATCTGTATATGTAATTTTAACTATAGATTTCTTTCAGGTATAAATGTAAATTGAAAGGTACTGAAAATTTCTTCTTCGCTAGGAAACAACTATATAACATCAGAGAGAACTTCAGTTTTTAGTTTAGGTTAAATTTCCGAATATTGAGAGATCTCCATGCGAGCTTCACTCTTTAGATGCACTTTGCATTGCCTTGTATTTAATGTTCTGAATAGTTTGAAGTGGTAACTACAGATTGTGCTTGGTCATATTGAAAAGAACTGTATAAGCAATTTTGTGAAAAGTCCCAGAACTATAAAGTGTTTCATATGGGAAAATAAATTTATCAAGCTAAGATCCGTTGTGTGTGCATTCAATTCATTATGAAGCCATACACAGGTAATAACTTTTGGTGTCAGGAGTAGAGTTGAATGCTGGTGGCAAGAGCGATGAGGGGAAACTAAGACAGCTAGTGACATCCTTTCCTGCATTTATAGGAAAGATGGAAGGGGGCCGACATAGTTCAAGAAAAGATTAAAGCAGGTCAACAGGAAATAAAAAGAGAAATTGCTACTATAATAGAACACAAATTCGATGCTATGAAAAGCAAAATAGCCACTGATGAAGATAAATTTGGAGAAATTCAAGAAAGAGTTTCTACCATGGAACAACAAACTCATAACATATTTTTTGCTGCTATCCCCACGGAAGCTGACAGCTTGAAGAAATCTCTAGCGAGATCTGGGCACAGTTTTGGCCCTTTTAAATCCATGCCTATGTTTTTCGACCTTCTCTGAAGTTATCCACATACTGTGGAAAGATCTCCTGTCAAGCAAGGCGTAGTTCTTTATAGTGGCGGATGCAAGTGGATGAGATTCCCAAACTAAGGCTTGTGATATCGCCACTTCTCTGAGAGCATATGTAGCGGATATCTTTCAAACCAGCGACTAGACTTCGAAGCTGTATCTGGCGAGTTGGAGCTGCGCTTCGAGTTGGAGACTTGTTGAAAAGACTGTTGTAGATTTCAATTGAAATCTCGCCAGCAGCTCACGGAAACACTCCAAGAGCTCGCCACGGATGTTGAAAAGCTGTCTTATCTCGCCTTTTCGAACTACGCAACAGAACAAAACACCATCATGGGACATCGTGCTTCTGCAGTATTTTCTTTGATGGCATCTGGATCCTCAGATACAGAAAGCTCTGCGAATGGTGGATATCAAGTGCTTTGAAATTCGAGGGAGCCTGGAAAGCAACCTGTAGCCACCGCTACCCAGTCAGAGCTGCTCATGTGCAGGAGCCAACGGATCAAGTGACTGCTCGTTTAGATAATTTAAATATGTGAGTCAATGCCCTGAGGCAAAATGGGAGTGACAACAAACCGAAAGTGTTGGTTTGTTACAACTGGCAGAGCACCTCAAAACGCGAAAGTTAAGACCGCTGCCCAGTAAAGAGAAAAAGCAAATTAATGACCGTTACATGGACCAGAAGCTCCAGATTTCTACTAAATGGAAGGGTCCGTTAAGTCCATTCAAGAAAAGGAACTACAAAACACCCCAAGACATCGAAGCTGAGACCGCACCCCAGAAAGGAGGGGAGAAATAAATGAATGCCCATCTTGCAGGGCGGAGGTTGCCAAATGTTAAGAAGCCTCGTTTTAAAGCTCTTCAGATTTCTGCAATGAGTGGCGGCAGTAATGGACTTTTCATCATGGGACATATAAATGGAAATTCTTACAATATGACCATCGGTATAAGAGCCAATGCTACCATCATCCAAAAAAGATCTGAGTCAATTAATGGAATGTAAACTCGTCTGGATGCAGCTCTGCATTGCCCTCCAGACTGTGTACGGAGGTAAAATGAACAATAAATGATGAAAAGTTTAACGTTAACATCACGCTTGGAAATACCGCCGACTATCACATGGTATATGGGGCAGATATAATGGATTCTTGCTTACACGAATTAGACTTTCTAAGGAAGTATAATTTTTCCTTGGACTTTAAAAATAACGGACGCTACCGCTGAGGCCATAACCCTGTTCGGAAGGAAACATAAAGGAGTTAAATCCGTCCACCAATTAATAGCTCAAGCCAATATCATAGTAGCTGCCAGAACAGAATTTTTACTACTTGGATTCATAAATAAAAATAGATCTTTTCAGTATGGCATAATGGAATGATCTAAGAACTATAATAGCTCAAAAGAATTACTAGTAGCTTTGGCGCTCGTCGACCTATCAAGGACCTCATTCCGGTGAGTGTTCCCAATGTTAGTGATAAGGCGAAGTGGTTTCAGCATGTACACTAGAGACATGCGTTAAAGGAACGAGTAGTCCCTGTGTCTTCGGAGAGCCTAACTACAGAATTGTTGGAGAAAACACAATTGAGCGATGAAGGTAGAAGTGTCATTCAAGAATTTCAAGATGGTTCCTCCCGCACTTCTTCTGACATAGGTCGAACTAGTTTGGCGCAGCATAGAATTGAAACATGTATCATCTACCAGTCAAGCAGACATCCAAAATGTCTACCAATCGCTAAACAGGAAGAGGTAAGAAAACTTCTAAAGGACATGCAAGAAAGTGATGCTGTGGAGCCTTGAGCAAGTCCTTGGATCTCTCTCATTGTCCTAGTCAGAAAGAAAGACGGTTCAACTAGATTTTGCTTTGACTATCGCCACTTGAGCAACATCACGAAAAAAGACAGCTACCCTCTTGCTAGAATTGACTAGATTTTGGAAACTTTCTGGAACCAAGTGGTTTTTAATGCATGATTCAAAGAGTGGATATTGACAGGCAGCGATACACCCTGATGATTGAGAAAAGATGGCATTTATTACTGAACAATGATTTTGGTGATGCCGTTTGTTTTATGTAATACAACAGCAGCATTTGATTACCTCATGGAGATCGTGCTAAGAAGTTTTCCGTACGAAGTCTGTCTGATATAATTGATTGACATCATCATCGCCGGGAAAAGTTTTTAACAGCATTGAGGAAAATATTAGGAAGGTGCTTCAGAAATTGAAAGATGCTAATCTGAAGTTAAGTCTTGTCAAATGTAAATTGTTCAGACATGTCATCTCTGCCGAAGGTGTGTGTACGAATTCAGAAATTGTGTTGGCATTTAGAGATTGGAGACGCCCCGAAATGTCCATCAGCTAAGAATTTTCCTGGGGCTTTGCACCTACTATAGAAGATTTGAGAATTTTTTCTTCCGTCGCAAGATCCCTTCCCAAACTGATGGAGAGCAAGCAAAAATTCTTCAGGACAAAACAATGTGACGATGCTTTTAACAAAATGAAGGAGGCTTTAACATCTGCGACAGTCCTGACATACCCTTAGCGCGACAAAACGCTTACTCTTCGCACGGATGCGAGCAGTGAGATTGTGGGTGCTGTTTTATCCAATAGGGGTGAAACAGACATTCGAGAATGTGCTGTGGCATACTGAAACAAGGGTTTATCTAAACCATCGAGGAATGTCACCAGGAAAGAGTGGCTTGCCGTATTTAAAACCGTAGAACATTTCCACCATTACCTCCAGGGCAAAAAATTCCTACTCCGCACAGATCACGTTTTGTCGACATAGCTTTTAAATTTTAAGAATCCCAAAGATCAAATATCCAGGTGGATATAGAGACCCGAGAAATATGACATTACTATCTGTCATAGGAAAGGATCATCACACAGAACCGTTGACGGCTTGTCTAGAAGACCCTGCCCAGAAAGCTGTCGATAATTTTCCAGGGTGGAAGCCAAATACGAGCTATTTATCCGGTCGTTCATCAAATTACAAATTCAACACCATCTGACCCCAAACCAGTGGAGTGATGAAGTAGTCAGGAAAGACCAGCTGCAAGATGGCAACATTAAACCCATACTTAATGAAGTCTTCACACAGGAAACCTACCTGGCGGAACATTTCGATTTATAGTCCTACGAGAAAAAAAAAATTATTGGGCTCTCTCGGACTCGCTCCATATTTGAAACGGCGTCATGTACCGGAAGTTTGAATCAGATGATAGAAAGGTATTCTAATGCCAGCTAATACTTCCAAGATTTCGAATCTCAAAAGCCCTTAAAGAAATCATAGCAGTCTGACAAGAGGCCATTTCAGAATAATGAACATTTTGAATAGACTTCTAGAGCGCTTCTACTGGAATAAAGCGAAAGTGGTGTCAGTCTTGTGGTGCTTGTGCAGGCCGAAAAGGACCGAAGAAACGCAGCCTGCATCGCCTTCGATGTGACGGGATCTGTGCCACGATATGCTAATGACAACAAATGCATCCTTGAATCCATTGAATGTTTTAAAAATGGCGTGAAGCATCATGTTTGAACAAGCTGAATCTCAAAGCTCAAGCTGTCACGGTAGCAGAAGTAATGATCCAGCACTAAATTTCTAGGTTTAGAATGCCTTTTCAGTTACATTCCGATAAGGGAAGGGTAAGGGCTGTAATCAAAAGGTCTATAAACTACTGGGCATAGGGAAATCTCAAACGACACCTTTAATTCCACATCCAGATGACATAGTAGAGAGGTTTAATCAAACCATCCTTAATAACCTGTAGCCGATAGTGTCCAGAAATCAATAGGACTGGGACGTGAAGTTAC